TTCGAGTCTCATAGTGAACATCAACTCTGAAACGCAGGTACATCCAGCTGACGAGTTGAAAATAGGACGAAACGCAGATACTGCATTCCACTACTATCCACAATTCACGTTTGCTTAGAATGAACTAAATCAACTGAAAAGAAGGCATCGATGTCAATGTCTATCAAATATCATACTTAAATAACGTCGAATGATCGATCATGATCGATCGATGGAATGAAAGAAATAATGTTTCTAATTGAATGTAGAAGTTAACGAGTTTGACACTTTTAAACTGTATAACCAGTTAATAGGGACAACATTTCAATAAGACATTTATATATCTAGATATATTGTGGATACTTAACTGTTTACATTCAATTTGTTTGTCATAAAATTGTGCTTAGAAACAAAATCAAAGTCTTTGACCTAAAGGTTTAATCCATAGAGTAGTGGAGCGACGTTAGGAAATTCAATTCCATAGTATACGATGACCGACAACACATTCATATGCTATATGTTCCTTCAGAATTATGAAGTACATGTGTATCATTAGTTTTGGATCAGGGTTTTCCAACTCCCCCTATGGGGATCCTCCATATCCACCAATCCAGTTCAAGAGTCGGACACTGGCTTTTCGTCTTTTCAATTTCATAAACAACACTCTCACCGAGAGAAGGCAGTGTGTAGAACTTCTCTAACAATGGCTGTATACTTATGGCCATGTGAGGAGAACACTTCTAGATGTAGATCTAACTTTCCTCATTCTCAACCGTGATAGGACATTTTGGCACCTGAAAAGACAATCATGTTTAAATGAAATCAATATATTGATTAAATAAGAATGTATCTAATAGAAAACATGATTTTTTTTCGATGGTAAATTTTTCCTTTCTAAAGAAACACAGATTTCTGAAGCTTGTGATAGTCATATGTTATTATCATAATCAAAGTGAATTGATCAGCTATCTAATATTGTGTGAATTTTATCTGTTATACAATTCATTGTTTCATAATTGACTAATGATAATTGATTCCGATAGTTGAGATCATGAGTCAATTGAATTTAGATTATCATGGAAAACTTGAAAGTACACTAGACAGCAGTTTCATTCTATTGTGAGACTCTTCAGTAGTGTGCATTTACGATCTTACACATACGACTTGAATTCAGGACCTTCGATCTGGTTCGTGAACACTTAAACGCTAGACCATTAAGCCAGCATCCAACGTTGTTATTTGGGGGAGAGTCTCATATGTTGGATTGTGGATGTGCACTGATGCAAAGTTCTATACTAGGTTGAAACGGCCGTCTAATGTTTCCAGGTTTTCAATAGTTGTCTAGCTTCATTTTACTCATGATCTCGACTATTAAAATTGCTATAATATCCATGAAACATGCCAATCTGATGACGATTGAAACTTATTGAAAGACTTACTTGTATTCAATCAATAAGTCCCAATAGAAAATTAATTAAACTTTGAAATGATAAAGAAATTTCTTCGATGATGTTGCTATTCTTTGAACTATGTAGTCTAATTATGACATCACTGGAGTCTACTCTGTATTGGGCCTTCCTTAACAATTCTTGTTCATTCTCCTAATTTCTGTCTCTGTTTCTCTCCATAATGTGTTCTTTGGTCTTCCTCTTCTTCTTTGGCCTTCAGGATTCCATATGAGGGCTTGTCATGTGACATAGTTTGGTGCTGTCCCTAAATGTGTGTCCTATCCACTTCCAGCACATCTTCCTGATTTCTTCTTCCGCTGGAATCTGGTTTGTTCTCTCCAACAATAGGTTATTGCTAATAGTGTCTGGCCAACGGATCGGAAGTATTTTGCCTAGACAACTGTTAATAAACAACTGTATCTTCTGAATGATGGCTTTCGTAGTTCTCTAGGTTTCAGTCCCATACAGTAGAACTGTCTTGACCTTGGTGTTGGTTGCCAATTATTTTGAGTTCCAGAGATTCTTGAGTTGTAAATATGCTGCTCTTGATTTGCCGATCCGTGCCTTCACATCTGCATCAGATCCATCGTGTTCATCAATGATGCTGCCCAGATATGTAAAGATTTTTACATCTTCCAAATCTTCTCCGTTAATTGTGATTGGATTGTTACATGCTGTGTTGTATCGGAGAATCTTGCTTTTCCCTTTGTGTATATTGAGACCTACTGCTTCTGAGGCTGCAGCTACACTGGTTGTCTTCTTCTGCATTTGTTGTTGCGTTTGTGATAGAAGAGCCAAATCATCTGCGAAATGTAGATCGACCAACAGAGTCATAAACGTCCACTGTATCCCGTACTTTCCTCCAGATTTTGACATCTCCAGAATTTTGAAATTTTCTGAATCAACTTTATGTTTGCAATTGCTTTCATGCTTTGAAATATCTGAAAGCATATCATATCATTTCACTACTAGTCTGTATTAGTGAATCCCATGAATAGGATCATCCATCTTGTTCAATGTAGTATTCCTAACAAGATGCTATGGTTTCCTGAAATGATATTGTGACAATTTTAGATAAGGTTACTGAGAGTTATCAAATAGATACGGTTTATCATCGTTAAAACTTACAGTAAGACTATAATTTATGAATGAACCAATCAGATATAAGATAACAGGTCTTTTTTTGGCGCGAAATTCATTCATCCATTTGGATAAATAGAGTTTTGTCTTTATTACTGATGTCAGTTCGTTATAAAAATTCATAATTTCAATAGTTGAAAACATGGGTCAATTGAAACTAGATCACCATGGAAAACCTGGAAGCACTGGACGGCCGTTTCGTCGTAGTATGGGACTCCTCAGAAGTGCATATCCGCGAGATTCAAACCCAGTATACCGGCTCAGTGGTCTAATGGTTATGCGCCCGCGCGCGACACTGATAAGTCCTGGGTTCAAATCTCGCGGGGGGGGGGCGGGATCGTGGATGCGCACTGCTGAGGAGTCCCATAATAGGACGAAATGGCCGTCCAGTGCTTCCTGGTTTCTAACAGTAGTCATACTAAATTCAATTTATAATTTAAAATCTGTGAAATGTCTATGATCTCCAAAAAGATCTATTTCTAAAAAATAGAAGTTGACAACTATTTTGATTATCTCTTCATTGATCATCTTCAGTATTCATTTTTGCTTATAATATATGATTATATCGATGTCAAGCATCGAATAGACCAACATACAATGATGAATTGACCATGAGTAGATTATGAAAAGATTCTCTATGTCTGTCAAGGTCCACTAATTTTACTGTCTATTCGCCTCATATTAGATTCTAGATTATTGTTATGAATTACCAAACAAGAATGCATTATTGTAACAAACTTTGACTACCATCATTAACAATCGGTTGTTTAAACTGACTTTATAACGTTCCAGAATGCGACTAATTAATTGAAAGCATCAATACAAATGAATGATGATGTCCGACGTTGTCTCAAATTAGTATGGAAGGTTTGCCATATATTCTCTGACTGTCAAACAATTCATGATGATGACGTATACCTGAACATTGATTACCATGATACGCAATACTGACTAGTGTTGGATACGTTTGGAAGAAAGTTAAGGGCGGCAAAACCAAGACATGGTATCAGTCCTGGAAGTCACTAACTTCTAGCCTGAGCCATGTTGGTAGATGCAGACAACTTGGTTGGGATCCGTATGACTATCGTAAGTAATGGTTTGTGACTCTAAGTGACATGGCTCAGAATCGATCACAATGGCGTCGGTGTATACACTCTCTGTCTTCCTTTAAACTATGAGATTAAAATGTCTTTATATCTTTCTTTCTACGAACTAATTCTTCCTTTCTGTACAATATCCTTATATTCAACCTTTTTTATATATTACCATCATTGAATTAACTACTTCTATGAATCCGGTGTTCATCTTGTTGTGCTAATGAGGTATGGCAACTTAGACTGATGCATATATATGATTGGTCCTACGTTGCAGCTGACTGATTATGTGAATGATGCTAATGTGAACCTTCTAGTAGGAGGAAAACGATATGGCACTGAACAAATACAGAATAGTAAAAGTTGCCAGTAGGATATTTTAGGATCTTTACAGTCAATAAGTTTAAGAAAACTAATCGTCGTATACTTTGGCCACAGAGATTTCTGATAAATGGAGGATGAAAATCTACGTGAACACCAGGAGATATTGACTCATGTTCTTTTGAATATTGAAACACTGTAATATACATGAATTAGTTACCAAAATAAACCTACAGAACAATCTGAAGGCAGTGATACTTTCAAGATATGAGTGCTTTTCGCAAGACTTGATCCAGAGTTGAGAGATTACTATTCACTACCTGGTATAGATGTCTTTGTGTTTACTGGATTTTCTCCAATGAAAGATGATAATTCGTCAGTTCTATGAGAAATAAACAGCGAAATAAGAATTGATCCAGCTGGTATTGATATCTGTGATAGATTTAACGCCAAACCAGATAGACTGGGATTGAAGGTCGTTGAGTTAGACTATCTTTCATGACTTATTCTAAGAGGTTATTCGAACTTGTTATAAACGTCCTTAACACAAACTTTATCCAGAGAAAATATGATTTCTAATCAATGTCATGTTTGTATAGTCCTTATTTGTGTAGATCAAATGCTATCGACGACGTTGCAATATGGCCACCAGTCTAAGTGATTCGACACTGTGTGCGCTATTGTGAGATTAGATGGTGGTTGGAGGAAATCAGCAGGAAACCCTCGACCCAGGTTTCGTGCTACTTAGCACTCGTCAGCAAGGTGTACCTGTAATCTTTGAGGGAACTGGTGCTCCCTGACGGATTCAATCCCATGTTACCCAACTTCACATTCAGAGACGTTACCACTGAGCTATCCGGGTTGCGACCGACCTCCTGTAGGATTGAGATGTAATCATAATTGATTGATCACTGGATGGTGATCAATGTTATGCTTGTCTAGTCGCTTCTATTGATTACATGTCTTTTTAATCTCTTTAACTTTTTTTTTTAATATTTTTAATTCATTTTATCAAAAGGTGGTCCATGTACTATTGATTATTCACATACACGTACAACAGATCATTTATATACAGATCCACCAATTTCAGAATTAATACAACGTCGTGGTATTTATAGTAGTTTAATGTCTAAACAATTAAGTTATATACCACCAATTAGTCAACAATATAATGAAACGAATCTAATCAATATTAATAATGATCCATCTTATTCATTGAAACATACTTCAGAAGAACTATTCAATGATAATATTCAAAAGATCAGACAATTATCAACTATTCCTTTGAATTCTTCAATCAATGAAGATGATGATGATGATGATAATAATAATAATAATAATGATAATGATAATGTTCAAAAGCAATTGAATAATAGAAATATGAACTACCATTCATCTAGGCTGAATGATACTACTACCAATACTACTAGTAATAATAATAATAATAAATTATTCAATAGTCCTAAAATCGATAATCGTATTGGTCATGTCAATCATTCTACTAGTCAATCCAATAGGATGTGTAAACGTGGCAGTTCTCCATTAATTAATTTAGTAAGTTTTATGTATAGTTTGTTTTGTTGTTGGTGTTCTTTTAAATAAGTTATTGAATGATTAGTGGATAGTTACTAGGGTAGTCTAAATGATCTAAGTTTATTGCTATTGGATAATTGTAAGTAAAGTTTCATTGTAATCTTGAAAGAATGAATGATTCCTATAGAATTCTAATGATCTAACATTTCAACATGAGAGAAGTGATGTTGAGTTAATTGAAAGAGTGACTACATTACAATTTTAATGTACAGAATTCGATTAATACTAAAGTATCCGATAAATATGACGTTGATCATTAGTATTCAGTGATTAAATTAGTTGTTAACTCATGTGTTTTACCAAACAATCATAGAGTACCTCATAACTAGCTTGTTAGTTATCAATACCCTACTTAGTGGGACTTCTGATTATTATTCATCTATATTCAGTGCTTAATTTATTAGAAATTATCAAGTAATTTGTTACATCAAATATACATATGCCACACTATGTCATTCTATCTGTGTACGGGCTGGAATACTTCCCGGGTGTCCAGACAGAAGTAGGTGGTTTTCTTAGAGAACTACTCTACTAAATCTTGAGCCTAGAGAGATCTAATCCATAATGTAGTGGAGCAACATCAGGAGTTACAGTCCCATGGTAGCCGGTGACCAACTATAAGTTAGTACACTATTTGTTTCTTCAAGATCCTGGAGCTCATGTGCACTATTTGTTTGAAATCAGGGTTTTTCAACTCTCCTAGATAGATTCTCCATATCCAGCAACGTGGTTTAAGCACTGGACATTCGCTTTTCATCCTCTCAATTTCATAAACAACACTCTCACAGAGAGAGAATAGTGAGTAGTACTTCTCTGACAATGGCTGTATATATATGGCCATGCCAGAGCATTTCGAGGAGATCTGAGTTCCCACCCTCGACTGTAACAGGGCATTTAGGGCTAGCGTTTGTCGGAGGTGGGATTCAAACCCACTCCGACATCGTGGAATCTGGCGCCTTAAATCTCTCGGTTACTCCAACTTTCTTGATATACTGACATATTATGTCAATTATATTATTCATTAACTATGAATAACTTTGAGTCGTTGATAATGAATAAAAATCCATCAATAACAGCCTAAAAGTCCACTAGTTCTTTATCTTTCCACTAAATTGTGTATCTTTTTATTATGGATCCTAAAATCCATATGCACCATTATTTTTGAATCAGGATCTTCTAACTCCTCTAGATGAATCCTCCATATTCATCAACACGGACATTCTCTTTTAGCCCTCTGAATTTCGCAAACAACACTCCTATTGAGAGAACGTAATGAGTAGGACTTCTCTGACAGTGACTGTATACATATGGTCATATGAGGAGAGTATTTCGAGATAGAGAGCTGATAATTTTTTGTTCACTTTCGACTGTAACATAGCATTTCAAGACTAATAATGATACTTCATACACTACAATATATCTCTACCAAATTCAATCCATTTTACAATGAATGTAGAAATAATAGATTTTTTGGTTGTTTATATTCTGTTATTGTTTTTCAATAACAATATCATGTCTTTTTCATAAGTAGTAGCTCTTCTGATGGCTACTATCAGTCCAAAGCTTGGATAAAGGAAGAGGGTTGCGCAGGAGGTTAGCGACCCCATCCTGTAGAAGACTAACCAGACAAAATTATTCAATAACGTTAATAGTACTTAACTCTTAATCATGATTATGATTGTTCACATGTTGTCTATATTTATTCATTAGTACGAAATACAAAAAAAACGGTACATTGAATCTCATATAAAACTGAAACATGTACAAACATGTTTCTATATAAATCAAAATACATCATTTCTTGTAGGTTTAGTACTATTTACGTATTTTCTAAATACAAAATCGATAATTTCTAGAACATAACTGGTTAAATCTTTTTTTTTAGTATCAATCATATTCTTCTTTTATATTGTCTAATAGATGATTCGAAATCGTTAATCATATTCATCACAAATTGATTATGTGTTTTTTGGAATACCAATGTAAATTAAGAAGTATTGAACAATAACTGTCCCGTTCTAGTGTAGCGATCCTCCACTGTATATTATCTTACATCTAATGAACATTCATAAAACTATAATATCCATGAAATACCATTGTGAGCTTACTAGGGACTTACTTCAAGATGCATTACAGAGATTTACGAAGGAAGTTGTAATGTTTGGAATACTAAAGTAAAGTAAGAAGTATTGAACAATAACTGTTCCGTTCTAGTGTAGCAATCCTCCACTGTATATTATCTTGCATCCAATGAACATTCATAAAACTATAATATCCATGAAATACCATTGTGAGCTTACTAGGGACTTACTTCAAGATGCATTACAGAGATTTACGAAGGAAGTTGTAATGTTTGGAATACTAAAGTAAAGTAAGAAGTACTGAACAATAACTGTTCCGTTCCAGTGTAGCAATCCTCCACTGTATATTATCTTACATCTAATGAACATTCATAAAACTATAATATCCATGAAATACCATTGTGAGCTTACTAGGGACTTACTTCAAGATGCATTACAGAGATTTACGAAGGAAGTTGTAATGTTTGGAATACTAATGTAAATTAAGAAGTATTGAACAATAATTGTTCCGTTCTACTGTAGCAATCCTCCACTGTATATTATCTTGCATCTAATGAACATTCATAAAACTGTAATATCTATGAGATACTATTGCGAGCTTACTAGGGACTTACTTCAAGATACATTACAGAGATTTACGAAGGAAGTTGTAATGTTTGGAATACTAATGTAAATTAAGAAGTATTGAACAATAACTGTTCCGTTCCAGTGTAGCAATCCTCCACTGTATATTATCTTGCATCTAATGAACATTCATAAAACTATAATATCCATGAAATACCATTGTGAGCTTACTAGGGACTTACTTCAAGATACATTACAGAGATTTACGAAGGAAGTTGTAATGTTTGGAATACTAAAGTAAAGTAAGAAGTATTGAACAATAACTGTTCCGTTCTAGTGTAGCAATCCTCCACTGTATATTATCTTGCATCTAATGAACATTCATAAAACTATAATATCCATGAAATACCATTGTGAGCTTACTAGGGACTTACTTCAAGATACATTACAGAGATTTACGAAGGAAGTTGTAATGTTTGGAATACTAATGTAAATTAAGAAGTATTGAACAATAACTGTTCCGTTCTAGTGTAGCAATCCTCCACTGTATATTATCTTGCATCTAATGAACATTCATAAAACTATAATATCCATGAAATACCATTGTGAGCTTACTAGGGACTTACTTCAAGATGCATTACAGAGATTTACGAAGGAAGTTGTAATGTTTGGAATACTAATGTAAATTAAGAAGTATTGAACAATAACTGTCCCGTTCTAGTGTAGCAATCCTCCACTGTATATTATCTTACATCTAATGAACATTCATAAAACTGTAATATCTATGAGATACTATTGCGAGCTTACTAGGGACTTACTTCAAGATACATTACAGAGATTTACGAAGGAAGTTGTAATGTTTGGAATACTAATGTAAATTAAGAAGTATTGAACAATAACTGTCCCGTTCTACTGTAGCAATCCTCCACTGTATATTATCTTACATCTAATGAACATTCATAAAACTATAATATTTATGAGATACTATTGCGAGCTTACTAGGGACTTACTTCAAGATGCATTACAGAGATTTACGAAGGAAGTTGTAATGTTTGGAGTTTAGCAATGTCACTTATAATATGTAATGCTTGTCATGCTCTATTACGAATTGATTCAATTGTCAGATATTTAACATTGGTATTAATCAAGATTTGATATATATTCGACTGTGGTATTTTTAACTATCGTATATATGTGTGATGTTCAGAATGTTAGATGATTAAGATTATGGTTCTATATTTAGAATTCGAGGGCAAAAGTGTTAGAAACATAAATAATACTACACATTTAGATGCAGTTGTTCTGTGGAGATTATTTTATCACAATTGATTGATTGCAGAATGGTGATCAATATCATGTGTGTAAAATACTTATTGGTGCAGATCATATGCTATCGACGACGTTGCAATATGGCCACCAGTCTAAGTGACTCAATACTGCGGGCACTATTGTGAGATTAAATGGTGGTTGGAGGAAATCAACAGGAAACCCTGTTAACCCGGGTTTCGTACTACTTAGCATTCGTCAGCAAGGTGTACCTGTAATCTTGAGGGAACTGGTGCTCCCTGACGGATTCGATCCCATGTTACCCAACTTCACATTCAGAGACGTTACCACTGAGCTATCCGGGCCGCGACCGACCTCCTGTAGGATTGAGATGTAATCATAATTGATTGATCACTGGATGGTAATCAATGTCATGTCTGTCAAGTCCTTATCAGTGCAGATCAAATGCTATCGACCATGTTGCAATGTGGTCACCAGTCTAGGTGACTCAGCATTGCGGGTTCAGTGTTTCCTGTCGACTACCTCTAACCACCACCTAGATTATATTATTCTGAAACTGATGTTTTATTCCTAGGTCGATCCTAATTAGTGTCAACCCATAGGGTATGATAGATAGGTGCACTCACAATAAGACTTAAAGATCCTGAATTTAATCTCTGGCTGGACTGTGAATGCACACCACTGATGATTCATACACTAGTATAGAACAGTTGTTCATTTCTTAGAATTTTTCAATAGTAACCTGAATGAGATCAGTCGGTAATGAATACCATCAACTGAATAGATGTGTAATGAATGATGACTTGGTGAGGAACAATCAATTTATTATTTAATTTAAAATCATACAGTGGTTTAGTAGGATGTCAAAATCGTACATCAAATACATCACTTATACATTTTCCTACACTTGTCCTTAACATCCTACATGATTCTTCCAATTCTGTTTTTATTCCAATTTCTTTCTGTTCTCTTCAGTTCTATCTCCTTTCGACAATCATTCGACTTTTGATCAATGTTGCATACTACTTACATCTTTTAACATAAGTAGTATACACTACAGATGAAACTATTATATCTAGGATTTAGATTCTTGAGATACCGCGTACAAATTAAGCACTCGAACGCTTGGACCTTTCAAGTCTCAAATCAGGAAACAGAAGATTAGTGGGAAAAAAAAAGTCATTCCAAATATTGTCATATATAGCACAAAACATAGTTTTTGGTAAAAATGAATTCATCATTATAGTCATTTAACTTGTATGCAGTAGCGTCTAACATTTGTCCAATAGGGAAACTACACGTCGAGATTCTGGAATGTTCGTCCAAAGAATTGGAATGTCTTCAGCTGTTTATCACCTTCTTAGAGCTTCCTTAAATTCATCGTGAGCTGTCCCTATGGAAACAATAAATGTAAATACATTTTTCATAAAAATAACATTGAGAAACTATTGGGGACGGTTAGATCCCCAAAACTCACTTGGAAAAGGACTTAATTTTGTGATTTTGTTTGGGAGATTTGAATTTCTTTGTTTTTTCGTCAAAAACGCTTTTTTCACCTTTATGTCTTATTTCCCACTTGGGAAATATCTTAAATGCTATTGGTCTGTTGTGTCTTTTAGTATGCTATTTTGTAACTCTCCACAAGGACGGTTTAGTGCTGTATATAAATACGTTTTGATTTGTGTCTGTTGTTATCGCTCGTTTCTGGCTGTTTGCAAAATATACTTCCCCATTCCAAGCTTGGACCTCTTCCTCCAGTTAGCGGAGCTGGGACGCATCAATTAGCAAGCTTATTGTTTTTTTTGGTCACCGAGTCTTTGCTCCGTTCGCATTCTAAGTGAACTCGTAACCGCTTCAAACCCAGCAGAAACAATAGAAATTACGTTTTATCCAATCGAATATTTATTTTAAATTTCCGCAAGACGATAATTTATGGATGACCTTTGAATGAATACTAAGTGACCTTGGGAAATATTAGCCAGTCACAAAACAGTCAGTATACGGTCAAAATATCTCGTACAAAACCATAGAATTAAAGTGACTACACTGCTTTTACATGTTTCAAAAACTTGTCAAGGTTAGAATCAGATTTAGAGCTTCTAAAATCTCGCTACTGTAATCTATTCTATGTCATTATTAAAAGTCCTGAACCACTGGTTTGACTAACCTTAAATGAAAACTTCTTACCTACCAACAATTAATAATGTTTCCTGTACTGACCCCAAGACATTAAATGTCCACCTCCATCTTTTTTCCACGTTACTCCTGTCGAAGCCGACATTATGAATAAATAAACGTTGGCTAGGCCTTCATAACAGAGTTCTCAGCTGCCATGATCTATGATGATTCATATCTTGATGGAAATAAATTCTAAGAACAAAATCATAATTTATACGGTCATCAGTAAATTTAGAATATATTTCTTCACATACTAATATTGACTGATCAGTTGATATTTCTTGTACAAAATCTATGTCATACCTCACTATCCTAGTCATTCAGCTGAATGAGAATATAAAATATAAAACTAAATCAGTAATATTCTCCTAATATTCCAATCAAACCTCATAGACCTTTGTTCAACAAACATAATTTCAACTAATAATTTAAGCTACTTATAAAATAGTTAGTAGTATAATTTGATGTTTATAAATTATTTTTGTTTATTTCTTTATAATTTGGAAAAAAAATTTAGAGTGATATGCCAACAAATCGAACAATAAGAACTGGTTCATGTGCATTTCTACCACAAATTAATGAATTTAATTCAACGAAATTAAATCGTCAATTTAAATCAAATAAACATATTGCTTTAGCTGCAAAAGAACATGTGGAATCAATGCATCAAAGTTTACGAACACGTTTATTATATGGAAAGAATAATGTATTAATGCAACCGGTAAACTTTGTACTAAGTGTTTTTTTGTATTGATTTGTAAGAGTCATTGATTGTAGTATTTACATAGTTGAATTCAAGAGTCGAACTAAGCTAGACCACCGTTGAAGACCTGGAAATGCATTATGGATGATTTGTTCTAGTATCAGATTTGTAGTCAGTGAACATCCACAATTCCACAAGCAGGACTGAAACCCAAGACCTTCAACCTAGCATACAAATGCCTAACCTCTATACCATTGAGCTGGTATTCAACGGTGTTAATGTTGAACTCCAGTCGATCTATGATCTTAGGCAACCCATCACTCATTATGTGAGATGGATCGAACTCCCCTGGTTATGACACCTCATTAGAACTTCAAAAGTTCCATCTTGAAACTAGTCACATATTCAATTTAATGAATATAAGGAACATTTGAATGAAGGAAATTTCCTTTTTAATAAAATCGGCTAGTCTATAATTTATGAATGAACTAATCAGATTTACGATAACAGGTCTCGGATTTTGGCGCAAGATTCATTCATCCATTTGGATAAATTGAGTTTAAGCATTATACCTGACATCAGTTCATAATGAAAGCCCTAACCTTAAACATTAACTGAAAATCATAATTCTAATTCCTCACACTAATTTATAACCCTCATTTAGTCCTAGTTATCAGGTAGACACTTTCAAGGTCAATCTAGCGTCGCTCAAAGATGGTCATCCATAAATTATAGTCCCACCATAAAATCATCTCAGTAGTTGAGACCATGAGTTAATCGAAGCAAGACCATCATTGAAAATCTGGGAGGACTGGATGGCTGTTTAGTTTTATCGCGGGACTCCCCGGTAGTGCGCATTCATAACCCCGTCTCGCGACATTCAAACCCAGGACCTATCAGTCTCACGTACAAGCGCTTAACCACTAAAACACTGAGCCGGTATCCAACGGTGTTAATGTCTAACTTCAACTAATCCACGAAATTGAGCGACACATTCACCATTGTCATCAGTGAGTTACTATTTCACCACTGACCTGGTTAAAGTCCACTGGTCACTGCTTCTCATTTACTCAAACTCTTGACTTATATTTAAAGTTCTTTCATAAATCTATTTACTTTATAGAAGAGTAGGAAGCGATCACATCATAAAGTGATCGAAAATTTCAAATATCAAAAGATGACTTATGCTGTACATTTGTATATATAGTTGTATTGACTGATAGGTCCTAGGTTCGAGTCTCGCGGGGAGCGAGATCGTGGATGCGCAATGCTGAAGAGCCTATACGAGGATGAAATGGCCGTCCAGTGCTTCCAGGTTTCCAACGACGGTCTAACATCAATCGAAAACTAAATATGAAAATGTGTTTCGAAATAGAAGTGTTACCCTTTTTTTTTAATTTCACTTTTAGTCTAATTCATCAAATCCAATACCTGGTTATTTATCTTTAATCGATGGTGAATGTGGTAAATTAATTGTACTTAAATGGACACCAAATTCAGCTGTAACTACACCACAAATGAATAATCATAATGAAGAATTTTGTTTCTCTAATGATTCAATATTGGATACAAGACTTGATTTAGATGATTTAAATGAAAAAGAGTAAGTTGAAATCATATTTTAGTCGGTCTTTTGTTTTATCAGTCAGTGTATTGATAGAAGTTATTATAATGAGTGTATACTACGGTACGGTTGCGAGTGCGGAGAGTCAACTCTCCCTCTCCGAATGCTCTCATTAAGCCACATGCATACAACTACTCCTAAGGAAGTCCTACTCACTGCCTCCTCGCATCATGGGTGTTGTTTACAAAAGTGAGAGGACGAAAACCGAATGTCTGGCGCTTTAACCGGGTTGGTGGACAGAGAGAGTTTACCTAGGGGGGTTGGAAAACCCTCATTCTAAACCAATGGTGCACATGGGCTGACTCCAGTATCCTGAAGGAAGAAATGGCGTACGAACCAATTACTGGTCACCAGCTACTATGAGACTACATCTCTTGACGTCGCTCCACTGCCTTGTGGATCAGACCTTTAGGTCGAAGGCTACGGAAGTGGCTCCTTAAGAAAATCATCTGCTTAGTTCTGTGCAGCCGGTAGTATCATAGCACATACACGCACAGGTCAAGGGACTTGTGTGACTCATATGTATTCGGTGCCTCCTTGTACCAATGTTTACGTGTTTAAATAAATAAATACAAATAAGCACTTAGCTTATTGACTATTAAATATGTGATTTCTTTTCCTCTCATTGGTTTCTACTTGGGAATCACTGAGTATGTTGGCTTGTAATTGTGTAGAATAAAGTATTGTTCAGCTTATATTCTGGTTCACAGTTCTGGAGCGTAAATGTAGGATCTTACATAACGTGACTGATCTCATTATTGTATTGTTGTCAGGCTTGAGACAATCGATTGACATTTTACAAATGAATTATTTGTTGTATGGTTACCAGATTTTACTAAGAGATACTGTAGTTTTACGCTGAAATACATTCGATTGTCCCCATTTATGTTCTCGTTTACTGAAACACTATTGATTACGTAATAAGGTGTTAATCTAACTGAATTATATTATGTTTTCGATTGAGATCATGAATCGACTGATGTTAAGTCACCGTTGGAAACCTGGGAGCACTGGACTGCCGTTTCGTTCGAGTATGGGACTTTTCAGCAGTGCATATCCACGATCTTGCTCGCGGGGTTCGAACCCAGGGCCTTTAGTCTCGCGTGCGCGAACGCTTCACCTACTGGACCACTTAGTCGGCATCCAATGGTGTTTGTGTCTAACATCAACTAATCCACGAAATTGTGCGACCATCTTTGATTGTACTGAGGTAGATACCTGAATCATATTATGCGAGAATGGCCCATGGATGAACTCGAGCAAGCTATAAGAAGATCCATCCAATCATCTTTTAAAAGAATATTCTAAAATTTCTACATGTAGCTTCCCTATTGGACAAATACTGAGCCCCCCTTCCTCCCTGTATGACGTTAAAGATGATTTCGTTTTCATTAAAAACTATTGATACCTGATATTTATGTACCATATTTGACACTGTTTTGCAATAGCATTCTTTTTCACTTGTCTTCTGTCTTCTCATTTGCAACCTGGAAGGGTACTAGTTGTTAGGATAATCCAGAAAATTTCTCGTAAAAGACATTAGAAAGCATTTCATTCAATCAGCGTTCACTTGGAGTTTTAACCAGAAACATCAAGGATGTAAAACGTCACATGTAGAAGTTCTGATTGGTTGATTACCATACTGCTACTATATTCAATAGCATTTCAGAATCTTCGAGTAACTCAAGAACATTTAGAATATTATAAAAACCCTCTGTTTTCTGTATTCAAATGAACCTTTGGAGTACAGTACTTTTCGCATACTTTGTGTCTTCTCTCTTGTATTCAGGTTGTTGTATAGTTCTAGCTTGGGGGTTACAAAAAGAATAACTTAGGAACCTAATACATCGTTCAAATTCGCAAGACTTATCATGAGTATTCAAGTGTTCATTGATTTTTCTTTTCATAACATTTTCTTGTTTCTAGAGCTTATTGGGGTTATGCAATTAAAATCAAAATGTCTGATGTTGTTTATGGACATTTTCATGAATTTAGTAAGTGTGTTCATTATGTATTTGATTAATTATATGATAGTTGAGATCATGAGTTAATTGAAGCTAGACCGATCACCATGGAAAATGTGGAAGTAGTAGATGACCTTTTTGGTGGGATCATGAATGAGCACTGCTGAGGTGTTCCACAATAGGACAAAACTGTCATTCAATGCTTCCAGGTTTTCTATGGTGAATAATTATTTGTTTAAACAGATCATATAATTAATTGTCTTATCAGTATAGAGGTTGTGAAGATTGAGATCATAAATAGATCAATGTTAGATCACCATTGAAAACTTGAAAGCTCTTGACGACCATTTCGTTCTAGTATGGGACTTCTCAACAGTGAGCATCCACAATCCCGTATATACTTTTCATAGTATGCGTATTTCTTATATCTGTAAACTATGGATGAAGTTGTGAAAGATGGTTGGGCTACGTACTGCGTATACTTGAACATCGATCACCACGATGCGCAATCCTCACTAGTGTTGGAGATGGTTAGAAAAAAGTTAAGGACGACCAAAATTAAAACGTGGCATCAGTACTTGAAGTCATCAACTTGTGGTCTGAGCCATGTTGGTAGATGCAGACTACTTGGTTGAGTTCCGCGTGACTATCGTAATCAATGGTTGGAAACTCTGGGTGACATGGTTCAGAATCGACTACAGTGGCGTAGGTATATACACTCTTTCTACCAACTAATTCTTTCTTCCTTTACTATATCGCTATACACAATCTTTCTTTTATATACTACCACCATTGAATTAACTACTTCTATGAATCTGGTGTTCATCTTGTTGTGCTAATGAGGTATGGCAACTTGAACCGATGCATGTATATGTGTCTGGTTCTATGTTGTAGTTAACTAACTGACTATCTAATAATTAACAGTGACAATCACTACATACTGATGAAAATGTTGTTTTATCCACTTCAGTTGAATGAACATTGTGCTACCCTTTTAAAATAAATCAACATAAGTGGAACGTCAGTTAATTTAACCAAACTGAGACATCTGTAACGACTTGCTTCAACTTACATAGTACTGACATTGACTAGTAATATATTCAACTCTTTATTATATCAGAAGGGGTTGTGTGGAGATTTCAGAAGTTTCACTGATTGAAATCATGAGTCAATTGAAGCTAGAACACCATGGAAAACCTGGAAGCACTGGACGGCCGTTTCGTTCTAGTATGGGAATCCTCAGCAGTGTGCATCCACGATCCCGCTCCTCGCGAGATTCGAACCTAGGATCTATCATTCTCGCGCCAAGCGCTTAACCAACTAAACCACTGAGCCGGCTGACATCCAACGGTGTTATTGTCTAACTTCAACCAATCCACGAAGTTGCGCCACCGTACACCATTGTCTTAAGTGAGCTGATATCCCGCGAGGAGCGGGATCATGGATGCGTACTTCTGAGGAGTCCCATACTAGGACGAAACGGCCGTCCAGTACTTCCAGGTTTTCCATGATGTTCTAGCTTCAATTGATTTATGATTTCAACCAGTAAATCTTTTTTATATCTTAAGCCTTCTTAATGTTTTCTTATTATCATGTATCATGTATATATTCAGCTTATATCGTTCATTTCTTTTTATAGATAATCAATATATATTAACATTCATTCGAAATGATGGAATACAATTAGCTCCATTTCATTTTTATGCTCAAAGTCATGTTCTAACATTTTTAAATTGTTTAGAACAAGGTTTAAAACAACGTGGGGGTTATTTGAATCCATCTTCTGAATTGGATACATCATCATCATCATCATCATCAGGTAAATGAAATGATAGGAAACCTCCAACTTTAGTTGTGCATTATAATCGATACCGGTACACAATATGATTGATCTTTAGTATTGAGGGGATTGATACTCCTCAGGTTTAAATGTTTAAACCACCATCTAACATTTAAAACATACTGTATGAGATCAAGAGTTAGTTAGACTGGTGAACTCATTGCAACTTGATCGATAGAATTCGATCAACACAAAGAACTATATGAGTATGATGCTTATCACTACTCAATATCTATGTGTTAGTAGTGATCATTAAATTGTTTTGAAAAAAATATGTCATTATTGAAATTCTGAATTCAATAAACCCATCTTTTTCATGATACTGTGGTATGCACTATCTATGCGGAGATATATAAGTAGTATGTATTAAATGAACAGCATATTTACAACTGAAGAACATCTGGACTTCAAACTAACACCAAGGTCAGGATTTTCAATACAAATGTCACAGCAGTTCTAATGTATGAGATGGAAACCTGGAGAACTACGACAGCCATTATCCAGAAGATACAAGTATTTATTAACGGTTATCTACACAAAATACTTCGGACCCGTTGGTTAAACACTATCACCAACAACCTATTGTGGGATAGAACAAATCAGATCTTAGCGGGGGAAGAATTAAGAAGAAGCGCTGGAAGTGAATAAAACACACATTGAGGAAAGTACTCAAGTACGTCAAGAGGCAAGCCCTCACATGGAATCCTGAAGGCCAAAGAAGGAGAGGAACACCAAAGAACACATTACGGCGAAAAATGTAGACAGACATGAGGAAAATGAACAACAATTGGATAGAACTGGAAAGGGAGGCTCAGGACAGAGAGTAACAGGAGTAAGTAAGTAAGTAAGTAAGTAAGTAAGTAACTGATGTATTAGTAAGTTTCCGTCCACATTGTTGAGTTGCGACGGTTAAAAGAAGTTATTCCAACTAACAGTACTAACAATGAGGTACAATCAACTCGTTATAAAAGTCTAATGTTTTACACATTAAAAAAGTTAGCAGTTATCTTAACTCGCCTAGTCACATAAATAAAACTCTAATGTCTGAAGCTATTTATTCAAATTTGAGTCTCAATAAGGAAGACTTAACATGGATGCATATATATCCAAAGAGTAAGCTGTAAGTTGGACAGCAAGAGCACTTCATCTGAAAGCGGAACCAAGTCTCCATTCATAAATTTTGCGAATGCAATTCTCACTACCTAGTTACCTAACCTAACATTGATTTAGGGTACGGTTTAAGTCTGAGACTCAGTTACTTTGTATTCAATAACTTTAATACAAATACTTTACATTGTTGTACATATGCTTTAATACAAAATAATAATGTCTTCATATTCCTCTTAGTCACATCAGAATATTCCATGAAATCATATCGTCCATCAATGCCATTCATTTTCGGTAGTCGTAATTCATTATCACCTCTATCAACATCAATAACCAACAATGATAATAGAACAAACTCATCAATAACATCATCTCAAAACTTTCCATCTTCAGTTTATAATAAACCTTCTAAATTAAATCAATCTTTATCATTAACAAGTTCCGGATTGAAACAACGTATATATATGAATATTTTAAAAGCATTTAATCATACAGATGATATGAATCATAATGAAGAATTAGAAACACTTCATTCACCATCTTCTATTTGTATACCAGAAGAAAAATGTTCTATTCAACATGTTTATATGATTGTATCTAAAACTAGAGATAGTCATACAATGGTATGTGTGATATTCTATGCTTATAATACTCTAAAGTTTTATTAGTTATTTTATACTACTAATTAAATTTTAAGTAGCTCAAATAGTTTTTTAAAAAAGATTTTTTTCTCTGGTATTGAACATGAATCTTTTGTTAAAATGCGTACTCGAACTTTCTCGTATTCACTGATACAGATATATGTCAATTACTTTACGTAAGTTCAGTTATTATGACTTGATCTTTAATATTGAACTGCATTAACTGGAGTCTTATACTTTGTATACGGATTGATCAGAGGAATGAAACAAAACTACATGCGGTAGAGTAAACGAAGCGAATCCAAATAATGCTCAGTGGAGAAAGTGTATGAACTAACTCCCATTTAATCAAGCCAGATAAGAATAGATTACAGATATATGATGAATAAGATAAGAAGTGCATACACATACTCTCATATAAAATAGTCAAGGTTGATAAGTGAATAATTAACAAGGTTAGAATGTGACTCAAGAAGAATGAATAAGTTGACCTGTCCAATAGCTAGAATAAGGTATATGGACTTAACATTGTAACAAACACTAAATTACCATAGTCTTTATCAAGTCAATGACGATTAATTTTACTCAGTATGGAGGATTTATGAAGATTGTAGTATTTTTTTTTTAAACAGTTGAATTCACGAATCGATATCTAAGCTGTTGAGGTGTTCCATATTAAGTCTTATATCCTAGTGAAGATCGAGTTACGGGTAACTTCTGTGAACTGTTAATAGTCAGTCAGTCAGTCAGTTACAACGTAGGACCAGGCACATATGTGCATCGATCCAAGTTGCCATACTTCATTAGCACAACAAGTTGAACATCAAATTCATAGAAGTAGTTAATTCAATGATGGTAATATATAAATGAAAGATTGCATATAAGGAGATAGTACAGAAATAAAGAATTAGTTCGTAGAAAGAAAGATATGAAGCGATTTTAATCTCATAGTTTAAAGGAAGACAAGGAGTATGTAGACCGACGCCATTGTGATCGATTTTGAGCCATGTCATACAGAGTCTCAAACCATTGATTACGATAGTCACGCCAACCCCAACCAAGTAGTCTGTATCTACCAACATGTCTCAGGGCTAGAAGTTAGTGACTTCCAGGACTGACACCATAGTTTGGTTTAATCGCCCCTAACTTTTTTCTAACCATCTCTAACACTAGTGAGCATTGCGTGTCGTGGTAATCGGTGTTCAGGTATACGTAACACATGATCCAACCATCTCAGTCGATGTAGATTCACAACCTCATCAACTGATTTATCACCAACTGTTAGTGTACTAATATTATATATATAATGTTATTGCATAGCTATCCAGTAACTAGAATGTGTATATCTGTATTCCTCTTATTATAATCTTATTATACGACTTACTGTTCCTAAATTAAGTTCAGTTGACTAACTATAGTCTTCCACGTTCACAGTCACTTTTTGACTAGATCATGTATAAATGTTATTTCCTATTTTATGGCGTGGTGTGGTCTGTTTCGCTGGTATATACACTTAATATTTTTGGAATACTTACTTACTTACTTACGCCTGTTACTCCTCGTGAAGAAGCATAGGCCGCTCACCAGCATTCTCCATCCAACCCTGTCCTGGGCAATCCTTTCCAGCTCTTTCCAGTTCTTATTCATCCTTTTCATATCTGCTTCTATTTCCCGACGTAATGTGTTCTTTGGCCTTCCTCTTTTCCGCTTTCCTCCAGGATTCCAAGTTAGCGCCTGTTTCGTGATGCAGTTTGATGATTTGCATAATGTATATCCTATCCATTTCCATCGTCTTTTCCTAATTTCCTCTTCAGTTGGAAGCTGGTTTATTCTCTCCCACAGTAGGTTGTTGCTGATGATATCCGGCCAATGGATATTGAGTATCTTGCATAGACAGCTATTGATAAATACTTGTACCTTCTTGATGGTGGTTGTTGTAGTTCTCCAAGTTTCAGCTCCGTCCATTAGAACTGCCTTGACGTTCGTATTGAAGATTCTGACTTTGATACTGATTGAAAGTTGTTTTGAGTTCCAAATGTTCTTCAATTGTAAATATGTTTCTCTTGCTTTGCTAATCCTCACTTTTACATCTGCATCTGAACCTCCTTGTTTATCAACGATGCTTCCATGATTGATATTTTGAAATCTATTATTGTTGTTCTCTGGACTCAATTAGACGGACTAAGTGAACAAATGACTAATAAATACACTAGACTGTTGCTTATACTGATCAAATGTTATTGGTTTAGCACAATACTAAGATTATATGTTCAGTATATTCAAGTTTTCAATGATGATCTAACTTGATTCAATTCATCAATTCAACTAGATAATCGTTTCTTTCAATTATATTCTTTTATTCTAAGGGTGCAATCAATAATATCAATACATCATCTATATTATCAAAACGAATCTCTTTAGAAGATATTTCAGAAGAAATTATCAATGAATCTGATGATATTATTGGACAATCAAAGAATCAATTATGCATACAACATAAAGATGTATTCAATAAATTACGTATTAAAATATTATCACATGTATTTCATAAATGTAAGTTCCTAATCATCCAAATTTAGGGAAATTTTTGGGGAAACATCCAAATTCAAATGATCTTCACCAGAGTTTGGTGGAAATTTTAGAAGAAAAAAAAAATCCAAAATTTAAGGTAATTTTGTGGAAATCCTCAAAGTCACTGCTTTCTCTCAACTGAGGTATTGTTTGTGAAATAAAAAGAATGAAAATCAAATGTCTGGCGGTTGAACCCGGTTGGTGGATATGGAGGATCCATCCAAGAGGAGTTGGGTAAACCTGATTCCAAACCAATGATACACATAGGCTCCAGAATTCTGAAGGAACATATATAGCGTAAGAACGTGTTGTTGATCACCGTCTATCATCGGACTGAATCTCCTAACGTCGCTTCACTGACCTGTAGGTTAAAGGCTTTGAGAGTGGTTCTCAAAGAAAATCATCTGTTTCAGTTTGGTCACCTGGTCAGTATTCCAGCCTTTACACAAATAGAATAAGTTTTTGTGACGCATATATCTATTTGGTACCTCCTTGTACCAATGTTTATGTGTTTAAATAAATAAAACAAAATAAAGACAACGGACCATTAATTTGCTTCCAAGTTGTGAATGCAATGCAAACTTAGGAATCTGTTTATTTGTTTGAACACATAAATATTGAAACAAAGGGTCATCGAATACATATGCATCATACAAGTCACTTTATTTGTGTGTCAGCTGTGATACTTTGCTCGGATGTCCAGATCGAACCAGGTGGTTTTCTTAGGGAGCCTTTGACCTAAATGTCTGATCCATAAGTTAGTGGAGTGACGTTAGGAGATGCAGTCCCATGGTAGCCGGTGACCCAATAATTGGTTCGTACGCCATATTTTCCTTCATGATCCTGGAACCTATGTCCATCATTGGTTTAGAATGAAAGTTTTCCAATACTCCTAGGTAGATCCTCCATATCCACCAAACCGGTTCAAACGCCGAACATTCGGTTTTCATCCCTTCAATTTCATTAACAACACGTGTGATGAGAGGAGGCAGTGAGTAGGATTTCCCTGGCAGTGGGTGTATGCACTTGGCCATGTAAAAGCACTTGGATAGGGAAAGCAGACTCTTCTCACTCTCGGCCATACCAGGGCATTAAAAGGCGAATCAATAATCATAATGAAATAGATTACAGGTAAAATGTACAAATTGATAGTAAGAAAAAGTCATGTGTACTAATAGTAGTGATAAGAATAATCAAATGATAGTTCAACATAAGAAGTAGGTCATACTTGAATGAGTAGATCTTGAAACAATAATTACAAAGTATTAATAAAATTACGTATTAAGAAATCTTGTAAATAATTAACTGGACAGCCGTTTCGTCCTAGTATGGGACTCCTCAGCAGTGCGCATCCACGATCCCGCTTCCCGCGAGATTTGAACACAGGACCTATCAGTCTTGCTCTCGAGCGCTTAACCATTAGACCACTGAGTCGGCCGGTATCCAACGGTGTTAATGTCTAACTTCAACCAATCCATGAAGTTGAGCCACCGTCTAGTTTCAATTTACTCATAGTTTCAACTATTAAAATTTATAAAAAGTCTCCACAAAACCCCTTCTAAAAATAATTAACTGCTGATGAATATAAACGAAAGGATGGGAAAAAATAACAAACGAACATCGAATGTGAACAGATTAGTAAAATTGTTTATTTAGTCATCTTTGGCTAAGATAGGAAAAAAGATGTGTCACAGATGGTATTGAACCCTATCGGGAGATGAATAAAGTATATGATACATCACTAGAGATGATTTGACTTTATCTACCATATGATCAAAGTTAACTAGGTGTGCCAAGATAGAGTTGCATATTGTCTTTGTCTGGACCTTTTCAAACCAAGGCGAGGCTATAATTTATGGACAAACCAATAAGGTATAAGATAATAGGTCACGGATTTTACCGCGAAATTGATTCATCCATTTGGATGAATAGAGTTTTGGCATTATAACTTATGTCAGTTCATGATGAAAACCCCCTATTACTCCTTACTTCGTGATAGGCTTGTGATATTGTCATGTTAAGTCACGATTGTCGGAAATTAACATGTATCAACAAAAAAATTGAATGAACAACGTCCTATAGATCAGATTAATGGAAGTTGAAAATGTCAACTAATGATTTCATAATTGACTGCATACATCCATCCAGATAACTGTGTCTTTTGTCCAGTAAAAAAAGTGTTATAGTGGGTCAGTGTTTAAGGTTTTTAACCTTCCGTGTCACAGATTCGAACTCTACTCCATCCATTTCTGTGTAGCAACCGGATATTATTACCAGTCATTCCATAGTGTAGATCGAAACTATGTACACTAATCTGTACTCAGTAAATGAGTTAATAAAGAAGTTTTATCGGTTCACAATGCATAATCATCTGTAATAGTTCTCGTAACCAATATTTTAAACCCGATTTGAAAGTGCTTGCTTTCATTTAAATTTTAATGCTTGTTACTTTAATACTGTTAAGTTAGTGATCTAACACAACTCAAAATGTGCATCCACGATCCCGCTCGCCGGAATCTAACCTAGGGCCTTCGGTCTCGCGAGCGAGCCGATATCCAACAGTGTTAATGTTTAACCCCAATCAATTCACTAAATTGCACGACCATCTTTCATTGTACTGAGATAGATACCTGTCTTTACATGGATACCGGCTCAATGGGTTAGAGATTTGGCATTTGCGAGCGAGACTAAAACTCTTGGGTTCGGATCCCGTGAGCGAGATCGTGGATGAGCATTGCTGAGGAGTCCCACAATAGGATGAAACGGCCATCCAGTACTTCCAGGTTTTAAATGGTGGTCTAACATCAATGGATTCATGATCTCAATCAAAAATCTAATGATCTGTTATTATAAATAAATTCAGTAAGAAAGTGTTGCTAAGAAACATCATTCAAACACTTTCCACCTACACTGGTTTATCACCTCTTTATACAAATTGTAACTTTTGAAGTCTACTCTTTGGTTATGAATTTGAATTAGATCATATTCATTACATTCTTTTCAGGGTACAATCATTTTAATAAACTACGTATAGTACGTAAAAAATTAGCTGATCTTGTATCACCTAATTTCTTAACTGTGGATTCACCAACAAATGCTGAAGAAGGTGTAACTGTAGAATTTTGGAATCAATTAATGACAAATTCTATTCCAGTAAGTTTTTTTTATTTTATATTTCATCAACATAGTCACCATGAAATCGCACAAGACGTAACTCCAGGATTTCTGGTGAGAAGCTGTGATCAGTGAGGTTTAATGCTCGTCGGATGTGCAATAATTACCCATTGAAGGTAATTTTTAAAGGTTGAGCAATATCATACACTAGCTTGGGTTAGAAACTAACAATTTTAGGCGTCAGCTCAGTTTTCTAACGGTTAAACATCTATGTGTGAGACTAAATATTCTGAGTTCGATTCCCACGTATGAACTCGTGGCTACATATTGTTGAGGATCTCCATACTATGACGAAACAACCGTCTAGTTAACCATGTTTTTAATGGTGGTTTAACTAAGATCACTTCTTCATTTATATTGTGATAATATAGTCTGTTCATGATAGACTATATGTTATGAATAGGACGGCTAATCATGTACAGATAAGGAGTATACTTATAGGTCTATGTGTGAAAACATTCTAAGATTCGTAACTGAATTGGTAATAATCCGATCAGTCTATGACGTAGTATTTCTGTTTTCCTGGAAATCTCTGGTTAGAAAAAAAGATTTTCAATAGCTGAGATCACGAGTCGATTGAAGCTAGATCACCATGGAAAATCTGGTAGCGCTGGATGGCCGTTTCATCCTATTGTGGGACTCCTCAGCAGTGCGAGACTAATATCCCACCTCGCAAGTTTCAAACTAAGGCCATATCAGCCTCACGCGCGAGCGCTTAACCACTACATCAGTGAGCCGGCATCCAGCAGTGTTAATATCTAATTTCAAACGATCCACGAAATTCAGCAACACCACCATCATCTCACAACTGACCCGGTTAAACTGCACTGGTCACTGCTTCTCACTAAAACTTCAGGCAATACCTCTTGAAGCCAGTCACTAATGAGCATATGTTGATTAGTATCACAAATGTTTTTGTGGAGATTGTAGAAATTTCAATAGTTGAAATCTTGAGTCCATTGAAGCTAGACCACCATGAAAAACCTGGAAGATTTTCATTTTTTTTTCTCAGCTTTTGAGTCCTTGTTCAAGATGTACTTAAGTGCTTTCAATAGAAAATTTTATTGATAAGTCTTCTAATTGAACTGTAAATTCGATTTCTAAGCTCTTCTTGTAACCCACAGCTTACATCTACACAGCAACTTGCATATGAGAGGAAGGCGTGAAATATGCTAGAAACACTCTACTCCTAAAGTTCGTTCCTGTACAGTAAATCAAAGATTTTTATAGTATTTTAGATGTTCTCGGGTTTCTGGAACATTCTGGAACGCTGCTAAACATAGTAGCAGTATAAGTAATCATCCAATCAGAAACTCGACATGTGACTTTTAACCTTGTAAATATTTCTCGCAAAACGTCTAGGGAATGCTGATTGGATAAGATGCTTCTCAGTACTTTCAGAGTCTGTTTTGGCTTTTTTTCAAGGATTTTTTTTTAGAATTCTCCAACAGTTAGAGTTGGTTTTAGCGACCTGAGAGCGTGACCTCAGTGTCCAAGGGACAACTGCTTGAGGTCGGGTACATACGACCCTTTTGAGAGACATTTTTGCGTCAGATCCGTATTGTTGAAACCTAACCTCGGGAGACGGATATCCTTGGGATAAGCGAGATGTACATTTTCGGGGTCGACTATTTCTAACCCTACCCCTCCTTATGAGAAGGTAGCATCGCTATTATGCTAGTTGTCTGAAGGAAACACCGTTGTCTTTTATCCAACACAGGTAACGATTGATAAGTAACTGATTTAATAATAAATTTTCATCGATTACAAAACCCGAAACATGTTGTTCACGTGTGCTTGACCATTATTCAATAGACTAACAATGATCGGGGTGGGCTGTTGGATATAACTAAAAGGAAGCTAGAGTTGACCAAGTAAGACTTAGCATCAATCCACGAAGTCATCAACTGTTGGTGTAAGTAGTATTGGTAAGTTTAATTCAACTAGCTAGGGTCAATGAGATATTCAAGAATTATGTTTTGTGACATTGGGTGACATAAATTGAAATCGGTAGCGGTGACATAGTTCCATATGAATTTAATCTACCTGTAGATCATGAATAATGATATTTCATGGTAACTATTTCACAAATTCATACTCTTACTCTGAATCATAACCCCCTCCTTTTTTGTAATATTTTTTCTTCTATCACTGATATTCTTTATACTTCAAATAGCATAACATTCATCTTATTGATTACACATCGGCTTTCTAAGTATAACCATCTTACTGTTGTGGTGTGTACTACTGATGTCGATAGATATAAGTAGCATGTATCATTAATTTGCGAGTGAAATGTCTGACGCAGAAGGTTAAGAACATCGAAGGGAACGAGAACAGTGAGTGATTAGTGTGGAAACGAAGGAACAACGATATCTAAGACCATGCATTGCAGATTTTTCATGGTAAATGCTGGACATTGAATACGACCTGTTTTTTTTTCTTGAACGACTGGTCGAATTGCGCTGATTCTTGTATCATTTGAAGTTTCACTACCTCATCTGTCGAATAAAACAAAAACCAAGAGATTTTATCCACCATGAACAAATGCCAACAAAAAATTGATCAATTACAGTCCTAAACATCAATCCGGACATTCAAATAAACAATACTACATGAATTTAAACTTGACCACATTACACAAGTCAGTGTCTATGAGGAATCAGTAGGTGAGGGGATAATACGATGGAGTTTGAAGCAAACGGCATTGGGTTCGAGTCTTGGAGTGAATATCTAGATTGTGGGATGCAGGTACATCCAACTGATGAGTCGTCCACAGGACGAAACACACGTCTTGAATTCCGAAGCTTTCCACCATTTAATGACATTATTAAGGCAATTCACACAAGATGCACCATATATCAATAAGACTCTGATCTATTGTAGTCCTAAACATCAATGGGATAAGTTAAACAATTAATATAGAAATGAATTAAATTATAATTTTTGTTTAAAAAGTTACATTCATACATATTGAACATTTTAAATTGTTCTATTCTTTTTATATACAGCAAATCCCATTCAGTGAACTATGTCGATATGTTTATTTTGGTAATTGTGATCCAACAATTAGAAATGAGGTAAATAGTAATTATACTACTAATTATCAATATGGAGTTGTAGAGATTGATAAAGTTTTTGATTGAGATCACCAATCGATTGATGTTAGACCATCATTGAAATCCTGGAAGTTCTGAACAGCCGTTTCGTCCTATTATTGGACTCCTCAGCAGTGCGTACCCATGACCCTGCTCTCAGGATTCGAACCTAGAATTATGGTGTTGCTCACGAACGCTTAACTGCGGTAGGTAGATAACTGTCTCTATCCAATATGAATTAGCTGGATTGGTTGAGCTTAAACATTAACACTTTCGGATGCCAAATCAGTGGTCTAGAGGTTAAGTATTCGCGCGCAAGACCGAAGGTCTTGGATTCGAATCTCACGGGCAGGATTGTGGATGCGCATCAGTAAGGAGTTGCACATTAGGTCAAACTGGCTGTCTAGTGCCTCAAGGTTTTCAATTGGGGTCTAAAATCAATCGATTCATGATCTCAATCAAAAAAGTTTATACTCTTATCATACTCTTTGTTTTAACTAGAAACTTGTTTTGCACTCTTCTTAATATTGACTCAGTTCAAATAAATAAAATCAAGAATTCCTAAAGAAATTAAAGCTTATTAAAGACTATTTAGGAATTCATTCAGACGTTTTATGAAGAGGGTATGTCTCTATCAATTTATAATGCATTGACTCCTCAATGTTCAATGTCTAGGGTTTCCCCATTCATTTATTCAATAAATGGTCAGTTAAAGAGGTATTGATCTTTGGTTATCCTCATATGACATTTGATCTGTCCATCAACATCTAGTTGTAAAGATAAACATGTTGTGACATTTTCATTTAGTTCAACATTGTGATTTGGTTGAAATTTCTTGATTTACAAGTGATAGTATACAAGAAGATGATATTCAATACAGAAGCTTCAATGTTACTACATACCCGCATGATTTGTGTTAACTTTTAGATCTGATTTAATAACTCAAAGATAATGTGAATATTGAAACATTTTTACTTCCCTAGTAGTTTTATTCTCTAATGTAACTAAATCACCAATTAGAACACCGACTTATATCAATTTGGCACTGTGCCAAACCAATGATGCATGAACCAGTATGAGCAGCCTAGAGACAATTTTCAGTCTTTATTAAATCTCCTCACCTTACTCTACTGATTTAAGTCCAGAACGCCAATCTCAGCCTCCTCGAAACGAATCATATTTATACTCTAGTGATATTTATTATTTCCCAGTCAATATATGTATAATCACTATGGATTAAAGTCGTCTGAAATAATATGGAAAAGTAAATGGTATTAGATAAGTAATTAATTCTAATTATAACTTGATAACAGTATGTGTGCAGTGTATGCTACTTATGTCTGTCGATATAAGTAGTATGTAACATCAATCAGAAGTACATTGCCTAACAACAGAAGATTAAGAAGATTGAATTGAAGTAAACAGGAATGTAAACAGAGAGTAATTGTAATAACAACAGGAATGTAGTTTGTGAAAGACAGCTGATTGAAGATATGTAAATGAAGTATTTAATGTATGTCGACACTGTTATTCTACCCCAAAGGAGTTCTATTGTTCACCACAGGAACTTCAATTCATTACATCATCATTGATTTCATATTAATGAATGAAGAAGCTCATTGATATACAATGCTTTTATGCTTTAATTCTTTCATGTATAATAGGTATGGCCATATTTATTGGGTTTATATACATGGAACTCAACTAGTGAACAATTGAATACAGTTAATATACAACAAAAAGAGATTTATACAAATGCTTTAAATACATGGAATCGAGTTGTACAATATTTAAAACAAGATATTCGATATGCTAGTTTCATAGGAATTGTTCCACCTAAAAGTGATTCAACTGAATATAACGAGTGTTTAGATAATACAAAATCCCTTGCTAATAATGAATTATCAATGGTAAGTGATTATTATTTACTTCTTTATGCCTGTTATCCCTTATGGAGGAGCACAGGCTGCCCACTAGTATTCTCCGTCCAACTGTGTCATGGACAATCCTTTCCAGTTGTTATTCATTCTTTCTGTGTCCGCTTCCAATTCTCGACATAGTGTGTTCTTTGGTCTTCCTCTTCTCTGTTTCCCTTTAGGATTCGTGATGAAGTTTGATGATTTCGTTAACATATGTCCTATCCACTTCCAACATCTTTTCCTAATATCCTCTTCAACTAGGAGCTTGTCTGTTGTCTCCCACATTATGGGCTGTTGTTGACGGTATCCGTTCAGTAAACATTGAGTATCTTGTGTAGACAATTGTTTATAAATACTTATACCTTATTAATGATAATTGTGGTCATTCTTCAAGTTTCATCTCCGTACAGTAAAACTGTCTTGTATATCATCAATGTCTATTTTGAACTTATTCAACAACCAAGTACCAATTCTTTTCAGGTTCTAATAATTTGATATTACCCAATTCAGTGAATAAAAAGGTACTTATTTTTTAAGAAATAGATTTCAAAGATTTCGAAATCTCATGGTGGAGACATGATATCTAGATCATTGTGTTGAAATCATCTTGGTCATGTTTAAAACTTTAAACGTTTTGTTGATCTATATCATGGGCGGAAACCTGGAAAACTACGAAATCCATCGTCCAAAAAATACAGGTGTTTATTAACAGTTATCTACGCAAAATACTTCAGATCCGCTGACCGGACACTATAAGCAACAACCTACTGTGGGAGAGAACAATTCAGATCCCAGTGGAGGAAGGAATCAGGAAGAAGCGCTGGAAGTGGATAGGACACACATTGAGGAAAGCACCAAACTGCGTCACAAGACAAGCCCTCACATGCAATCCTCAAGGCCGAAGGAGGAGAGGAAGACCAAAGAATACATTACGCCGGGAAATGGAGATAGATATGAGAAAAATGAACAAGAATTGGATGGAACTAGAAAAGAAGGCCCAGGACAGAGTGGGTTGGAGAATGCTGGTCGGCGGCCTATGCTCCATTGTGAGTAACAGGCGTAAGTAAGTAAGTAAGTGATCTATATCATGATACTTGTCTTTGAAGTACTGTTCTTATATGATGAAGTCATAAGGTGAACAATGTCGACATTAAACGTAGAACACTGAGTAAATATAATAGTAATATGTTTATTTAATACCATAAATTTCAATTCACATGTATCAGTTCGGCCGAGAGTGGATGCATTCAGCTGTCCTTCTCGAAATGCTCTCAAATGGCCACGTGGATACAACCACTGATTGGGGAAGTCTTACCCACTGCCTTCTCGTGGCATTACTATTGTTTACGAAATTGAGAGGACGAAAAGTGAATGTCTGGTGATTTAACCGGGTTGGTGAATACGGCGGATCCACCTACGGGAGTTGGAAAACTCTGATTTGAAACCAATGGTGTACATGGGCTTCAGGATCTTGAGAGAACAAATGTCTTATGAACCAATTATTGATCACCGCCTACCATGAGACTGCATCCCCTTTAGGTTGCTCCACTATGAAAAGAAAGTAAGCAGTCGCTATGGTTCCGTTCGGATTTCTTACTATTAAACATTACAACAGATTCTAAGCCTTTAGTAAAACCATGGAAATTCATTCGGTTAATGGAGAAGATTTGTAGCTCAGGTGGGATAACCTTAATGGGTTTTTTTCTCATCTCTATATACGACGGATAGCTTATCCTGTAGACTTTGGTCTTAACTGTTTATTGATGACCTGTTGTTACCTGGATATTTATTTTGATCACTCCCTCCTTAACCTGATTCTTGATCTTATATTGTTCATGATTGTTTTGATTGGTTGGTAAATTGAATCGATTTCTGTTGACTATTGATTGACTTGAATTCCAAGCTTCTAAATATTCACTAACCTTCTTTACTTCCCTCTAACCGAAATCTCAACATCATTCCAGTTTAATAAGTATCTACAATTATCCATGTACATTGATGTATCTTTGTGTTATAACTTGTGGTCTTATTCCCCTATTAATATATTACATGATGATACCGTTAGTTAGATAACAGTGATTTATCGACTGGACTAATGCTACATAAACCCATACGAGCAGTCTACAGTCTTTATCGGTCCTTCTTCCTTCCTAGCCCTGCTCGCCTATTGAATTCAGAACACCAATCTCAGCCTCTGCGCTATGAATCGCTTATTTCAAACATACTGGGTTTACATACAAACCAAACACACCATATCGTACCATAAAATAGGAAACAACACTTGTACAGGATCTAACCAAAAACGGCTGTGAATGTGGGAGACTGTAATTAATAGACTGGGCATAATTCAACAACGGTAAATCGTATACTAATAGTCTATGGTTCAAAATAAAGCTCATAATAAGAATAACATGAATATGAATAGTTTAGGTACTTAATAAGTATACAATATCAGCAGAAGTTTTATGGATATTGTAATAATTTCAACAGTTAAGATCATGTGTCAATTAAAGCTAGACCACCGTGGAAACCTGGAAGCACAAAACGAACGTTTCGTCCTATTGTGGGACTCCTCGGCAGTGCGCATCCATGATCTTACCTCATGGGGTTCAAACCTAGGACCTATCAGTCTCGTGAGCGAGCGCTCAACCACTAGACTACTCAGCCAGCATTTATGTATAGTATTAGTCCATAAACAGATCCCAATAGTTACCATTCATTATTCTCGTCGACGAACATATCACTTTGAAAACACCAGTTCTTGTCCGATTACCGTAGTTAAACATTCTCATCGGGATATATCACTTTGTATAACATGTTTGTTTGAATAAGTCAATATTCTTCTTCTTCTTCATTATTTTTATATTTTAGAACTCACCAAAACAATCAAATGATGTAAACCATGTAGAACTAGACATTAATGTAAATAATGATAATGTTTTACCTGGTAGGTATTCATTTTTACAAAAGTTAATATTGTCATTGTGAACATGGATTATTTACTTAAGATGTCTTATAACTTGTGATCTGTGTCCTATTCATGTATAATGTAATGATATTGCCAATTAGAGAACAGTAATTTATCGATCGGATCGATGAGGCGTAAAGCAAGTACAAGCAGCCTAGAGTCCTTATCGATCCTGCCTCTTTCTTAGACCAGCCAATTAAGTCCAGAATACCAATCTCAGCCTCTGAGATATGAATCCTGCATTTCAAACGTACTGGGTTTACATACCAACCAAACACACCATATCTTACCATAAAATAAGAAGCAACACTTGTACAAGATCTAATTAAAAAGTGGCTATGAGTGTGGAATGTTGTAATTAATAGACTGGGCATGATTCAAGAATGATAGATCGTATAATAACAGTTCATAGATCAAAACAAAACTCATAATAAGAGGGACATGAACCGTTTAGTTATTTAACAATGATACAATACAAAATATACGCATAGTATTGATCCATAAATGGATCCCAAAAGTTACCATTCATTATGCTTATCAGGATATAACAAGATGCATAAAACAAATAGGGAACTTGTCCTTATTAATTCTAGTTAAGCGATTTATTATGTCACATTTATCCTCAATTAAATATTTACAACTTGCTTTATTCATGTTATGTCCCCTATTTGATTACGCCTGAATACAATATATAGTTAATGGTACTCGAACCCCATAGTAACAAATCAGAAAACAAAGGAAGTAAGAAAGGTGATTATTGAGTAAGAATCAGTAATGTGCAGAAAAACATGGTTATGTATAGATAGTAACATTAGTTATAACATCATTATAATTTAGCCAATCGTTAAGAAGGCATTGTTATACTATCATTCAATCATAGCATATCACGTTGATATTCTATAAAGCTTCATCGGGTTCTGATTGGATGGAGACTCTTCTGTTCTTTTAGAGCCTCTGGAAGCTTCATTGTGTTTCTGGAAAGTCATTCCAACAGTTCACAGCCACTTTTGACTCGTTTATGTATAACTATGTATCTTTATTTACTATGTGATATGATTCAATATGTTTGTTTGTAAATAATAGATTAATAGGCGTGTGTTTAGTTTACTGTAGCTCATGAATAATAGTGTAGGCCAAAACGATATGCTATCAACAGAATAATAGACTTGGAACTGACAAAATTATAACTGGTGAATTCAATACTTGATATCGATTGGCATCTTAAACCGTAGCACTATCAAAACAAGCAAACATCTTACGAGTGTGTTTTTTTTTTTCGGAGTCCAAAAATATCCCCATTTAAAGTCTCTAGAAGCCCAGAAAATGCTGGCAAATGTTTTACTCAATCAACTTTGAATAGAGATATATCAGAAATATAAAAGCATATCAAAAATCACAACGAGATTGTTGAAAACCTTCGGAATAGGCGTTGCACACAAACCGACAAAATCACTACAATCAATTCTATGCACACGGGACTCGAACCCAGGACCTTCGGTCACGGCCGTCCAATTCTTCCAGTTTTTCATTTGTGGTCTAGCTTACATCGACATATGAATTCAACTACTGAAATCACTACGATTTTGGCAAACTCCTATTCTAATAATAATCATCATGTGCTCACTAGTGACTGCCTTCAAGATGGATTGCCTGGAGTTCTTGTAAGAAACCGTGATCAATTGAGTCCAATCTATAACGAGTGTGGGACAATTATCCACCTGAAACAAGAGGTTAATGGTTGCGTAAGATCATGAATCGATTGAAGTTAGACATTAACAGCACTGGATGCCGTCTCAGTGGTCTAGAGGTTAGGCGTTCGCTCTCTAGACCGAAGGTCCTGAGTTCGAGTGGCGCGTAAAAGATTGTGGATGTGCACTTCTGAAGAATCTCATACTAGGATGGAACGATCGTCAAGTGCTTCCAGGATTATAATGGTAGCCTAGCGTACATCAACTTATGAATTCATCTATTCAAATTGTAAATGTTGATTAAGTTTAGATAGAAACATTAGCCTATTGGTCAATAAGTCTTAAGTTTGAACTGTGGATTATCGAAATTCACTTCAGGAAACTAAATAGATTCACTATGTCTCTCATATAAAGTAGGCTTCAAATGGGATTACATTCATTTGTATTTCATAGATGAATCAGATGGATGAAAATAAATTATTCTAGCTCAAAAACTAGAGCATCACCGGAATTACCATGATCATACTTCGTCATGCCTATAAACATTTCGAAACTCATGGATGTACTTTATCTTCTTCAGTATGTTATTTAATTATATTGATTAGGTATCCCTCCAACTTCTTTCCCTTCCTCAGATAATCGTTCTTCAACAGTAACACTTCTTAATGAAACATCTACTTCTAAAATATTAAATCTTTCTACTGATTCACAATTGTCTATCAATAATACAGTTCAAGAACAATGTGAATTTTCGGTTAGTTCAATTGTATTAAAAGTTAATCTTGTTTAGTTGAAATGGTTTTTGTAGAGATTGATTTCATATGTAAGTTGTATTCACCACAAATTGACTTCAGTTTAGGTACTTTTGACTTTTTCGTGTTGATATATGACTCTTCAACAGTACACACTTCGTTAGGGATAGAACCTAGAACCTACAAGTCACTCAGTGAATATCAAAGCTTTAAAAACACTAGATTTTGCACCCAGTGGTTCCCTAAGAGTCTTATTGCTGATCAATCTGATACAAATGGGGAAGATTAATTTATTAGCTAATACAATATTATAGAACGTCTTCGTAAAATACGGAATACATACACTAAATACTGCATTTGCACGTCTTCCATCAATTGTCTTTTACAAACTTCATTGATCCTTCATTCCGGTTATTATTACAGTTACTCTCTGTTTTCTTGAATTTGATCTTCTCAACCTTTTGCTGTTACGTAATCCATTTCTGATTAATGTTACATACTCCTTATGTCTGTCGATATAGGTTGCCTAGTTTATACTACTACTACTACTACTACACAACCACAATCGTTTAGCCGTATTTCCTTCCAACGCACGCACTAAGAGAAAAAGGAAAACTATCCCTTTGGAATAGTAGAACGTTATACAACCAATATGTATGAATACCTCAAACAACACCCTAACTGAATGTGTATGAATAGTTTATCCGTGACTTTGACAAGCATAATACCATTAAAAAAGTAATGTTCAGTGAAGGAACTATAAATGTCATTGAGGAAAATGTGAACTTTTGGTTCGCATCGAAACTTTTGCGCATTCAAACATAAGGATTTGTATTATGATACAACTAGAAAACAGGAATTTGAGAACCTTCCTAAGAAAAACCATAACGTATAACAGAATTAATTGATAATGAAGTGTGATATAGTATAGTGAAAATTACATGTCACAGTAAGATATCACATAGCATAACCTTAAACATCTTACTCAGTAACTAAGTGAATAATGCGATGGTGTTTGAAGTGGATGGTACTGGGTTTGAGTCCCAGAATGAACATCAACTCTGAGATGCAGGTACATCCAGCTGATGAGTCCCGAATACAATGAAACACGCATTCTGGATTCCACTGTTAGCCAATATCTATCTTGGCTTAAAATGCTTTTGAATGAAGGCAATATCAAGTCAGTTCGAACAGGATGCACATATACCAATAAGACACTGATTAATTACTTAATAGTTAGTATAATCCATGATCTGACTGATGCTGAATTATACAGAAGAGGTTAACAGAGTACAAAGATAATTGTATTTTGTAAGTACTCATTTAATACTACTTATATCTAATGTATGTTTACAAGTGTAATTCAGTCATTGAGTTGAGTTGAGTTTCTATTCTAATGCGATATTTATGAATACTTTATTGCCTTTCCCGCCCCCTTCCCCACCCCCTTCACTCTTCATCTAACTGTTATCTTTTTGATACTATTTTAGCCAAATACATTAGAAATATTTGCTGATAATATATATCGAATTGATAAAGATGTTACAAGATGTGATCGAAATCATACATTCTTTATGTCACCAAGTAAGCTAATATCTACATCTATCTTTAACAGGTAGTTTTGTGTAAATGATATTTAGGTTTTTATATATTTTTCAATGTTTTATGTTACCTATTTATAGAGTACATTAGCTACCAGCTTATTGATACCATTTGTAACTAGTCACACAAATGAATTCCCATAGTAACTAGTAATTTAGTTTCTTATTTGGTAAAATACACTTCATTCTATCCTGAATACCTAATCAATCAATCAATCAATAGAGGACAGAAATCTGATCAACTGTTTATCGTTAAGGTATAAAAACAAGGGATAAAAACAAGTTCTGTGGGTGATTGTGTTACTGCACGCTGATTGGCTATTTTTGTTATCCAATCAGTGCTAGCCGAGACTTGGAGAACACTCTAGAATCTCCGCATGTAAAAACTATAAATACACTAACGTTTTCCCTATTGTGCTTCTTCTTACTTCTATCTAACCTTGTTATTTGGAATATAATTTTGTTGCTGTTCAATCGTATTCTGATTTGGAGACTTATCTAATGGAATAGTGTTCAACAAAACTAAGCAATGGGAATAGCTAGGTCATAATAAGAGAAATTATAACACTTACATACAGTGATTACATAACCAAAACGTACTATAAATAATTTGTCATAATTCATATATATCTAAGATATTTGTGCTACAAAACTGAGTGGTGATTAATTTCATGTGTGTCAGGTCCTTCTTAGTGACGGTTGAATCCTATCGACTTGGTTGCTATGTGATCACTAGTCTAGGTGACTCGACATTGCGTACAGTATGTTAAGATAAAATGGTGGTTTGTGGTAGTCGACAGGAGCTCTGGACCCAAATTTCATGTTATTTGACACTCATCAGCCAGGTTTACCTGTAATCTTTATGGAATTGATGCTCCCAGTGGTAATATCTCTATCTGTGATGCTGGGTGACAAGCGATCAAATCCATCAGGAATCATCAGTTCCCTCAAGATTATGAGTGTCAAATAGCACGAAATCTGGGCAATGAGTTTCCTATTGTGTTGGGGACGTTAGATCCTCAGAACTCACGTGACTTTTCACTTTCTAGATGTCCTTCAGTTTCCGGGAAACTCTGGAATACTACTAAACTTAGTAGTATGATAAATAATCATCCAATCAAAAACTCGACATGTAACGTTTCACCTTCAAGATGTTTTTGTCAAAACTTCTATTGAATGCTGATTGGATAAAATGCTTATCAACATTTTCAATGCCTTTTTTTGTCCTTTTTTCGAGAAAGTTCCTGGATCTTTTCAACAGAACTGTTCTTCTTCTTCTTCTTCTTCTTTTTGTTTCAGAAAAAGGTTCCAAATTTTCACATCATAATATAACTGAATTAAATTCTAATTTAATTAAATTACGTAATATTATAACCACATGGGTTTGGTTACATCTTGATATTGGTTATATTCAAGGAATGTGTGATTTATTAGCACCAATTTTAATTATTATTAAAGATGAAATTAAAACATTTGCATGTTTTAATTGTTTAATGAAATGGATGTTACCAAATTTTCCACTGATAAAAAATTCTTTATCTCAATCAATTAAATTATCACCATCGGAAACTCGATTGTTACTAACACCGTCGTCATCATCATCGCCATCATCATCATCGTCGTCGTCATCATCATCGTCATTGTCGTCATCCATATTGACTAATCATATAGAGAAAACAATTAATAATAATGATTGTACAACAACACGTACAACTTTATTACAAATGGCTGTAAAAGCAGCTCGTCGTCGTACTGTAACAATACATAGTAAAGATAATACTATAGATAGTAATAATAGTGGTAATAATCATCATCATCTTCATCATTCAAAACAACTTCATTATGATACTAATACCTTGCGTTGTACAAATAAATTCAAAGAAACATCATCACCGTCACCATCCGTAACATCGACGGCATCATCCGCCACATCATCGTCGGCATCACCATCATCGACATCGTTACAGAGAATCACTGATAAAACAATTGAACAATCCTATCATGATCAAAATACAAATATAATTATTTCACCATATGATAAATTATCACTATTAAACTCTTCTGAATCATCAATACCATGTATGGATATAAGATTTTCGTTTCTTCAATCATTAATAGAAGTGAGTATAATAAATTAGAAAATTACTAGAATGGGTTTTGTGAAGAATTGGTAATTTCAATAGTAATAATCATCTGCTCACTAGTGACTGACTTCAAGAGATACTCCTGGAGTTCTAGTGAGAAGTCTTGACCAGTGGAGTTCAACCAGGTCTGTTGTGAGATATCGGCTCACTGAAGACAATGGTGACGGTGACGCAACTTCGTGGATTGGTTGAAGTTAGACATTAACACCGTTGGATACCGGCCGGCTCAGTGGTCTAGTTGGTTAAGCGCCTGGCGCGAGTCTGATAGGTTCTGGGTTCGAATCCCGCGGGGGGCGGGGTCGTAGGTGTGCACTGCTGAGGAGTCCCATACTAGGGCGAAACGGCCGTCCAGTGCTTCCAGGTTTTCCATGGTGGTCTAGCTTCAATTGATTCATGATTTCAACTATTGAAATTAGAAAATGTTTGTTTTCATACTGAACAGATTTTTATGTTCTAGTGTAGATCTTCAACTTTCTAAGTGGTAATAATAACTAAATCTTTAAGTCTTACTAAGGATTAGCTTCAAGAGGAATCTCGTGGAGGGCATCCATCGAAGATAATCAAAGATGGTTATGCGATATTGAAGACGTTTTAAATTTAGACACATATACCATTCAATAATCTCTTAATGATTGAATGGTTCATAGTCGGTGGATGGAGATTGAAAGTCCTGGGTCCGATTGCCCCTTGTAGTGGGATCGTGGATATGGAGCTCTATGGAATCTTTTAATAGAACGAAAAGTTCGTTCAATGCTTCCAGTTTTTCTCTTGATATTTATCTTATTTTGATCAGTTCATGATTTGAACGAAGTTCCACAATCTATACAAACCCGTACCGACATATATGGAATTGATTAGTATCCTGCTGGAACATCTTTGTCGCCAATGTTTCAAATATCAATCTATTATCATGAATTTTGAGTTGGTTTTAATCGACTAATTCTGTCTACTAGCTGAATGCAGTTCAGCGCTTGTATAAAATGTTTACAACTTATTGGGAATCTAATTACTGAGATACTTCAAAAAAATATCATCACAGTGTTTCGCATATATTCCTCTTCTCTCCTTTTCTTTGAAGAAACAACTAGTGATTATCATGGTAGTCATACAAGCATTCAAATGTATTTGACCATGGAAGGATATGCCATTCGTACAAGACTGATCGTAACACATATACGGATGAATATGAATGGGTTCTTATTCATGGGTTAATACTTATTAGATAAAATTATTGGGATATTTTACATTGAGTAATGTTGACTGTAATTGAACCTACTGAATTGAATAAAGCAAGTATTATTATCATTAGATTTAGAAAACAATTCTCAATGAAAAACCTGGAAGCACTGTACGGCCGTTTCGTCCTAGTGTGGGATTCCTCAGCAGCGCGCATTCACGATCCTGCCCCCCCCACAACATTCGAACCCTAAACCTATCAGTCTCGCGCCAGGCGCTGATAGGTCCTGGATTCGAATCTCGCGCGGGGCGGAATCTTGGATGCGCACTGCTGAGGAGCTCCATACTAGGACGAAACGGCCGTCCAGTGCTTCCAGGTTTTCCATGGTAGTCTAGCTTACTTGGAATTGATGAAGTGGATACACTTTCATCACAGTATTGATGTCAACACTGAAAATTGAACCCAGTGTCTATTGTTCTAAGATGAACATGGTTGAAGACTCTGGGTGATATGGTTCAGAATCGGTCACAACGACGTCGGTGTACATACTTTCTGTCTTCCCTTAAACTATGAGATTAAAATCGCTTTATATCTTTCTTTCTACGAACTAATTCTTTCTTCCTGTATTATATCCTTTAAGACAATCTTTCTTTTATACATCACTACGATTGAAGTGACTACTTCTATGAATTCGATATTGATCTTGTTGTGTTAATGAGGTATGGCAACCTGGACCGATGGACATATATGTGCCTGGTCCTATATTGTAGCTGACTTACTGACTGACTGAATATTAAAATAACTGTATTTTAAATTAGGTATTCTTACCCATCCCCTCATTAATGGGGATTTTCCACATCTTTTCCCATCTATTGTTCAAACCTGGTAACAATAGTTCTAAAGAGAGAACTTACTGGCTATTATTGATTTACTATTAATAGAAAAATCAATAATTTGTGCGGTTATGATCACAATGATAATAATGAACTCTAGTAATTACGTGAATACAACTATACATTGAAATTTAAACGTTGTTACTCTCACAGAAGATTTGTTTGTGAACATTCTGTTTCTATTAGCTTTTTTCATAGCTGGAAATGTTGAAGAACTTACTAAGAGGATTCGATGGAGCATCGTTTTGTCATTCATGATTATCAGTTACATTAAAGTTTTTTTTAAAGTGTACTTTAAGGTTGTATACTGTAAAAGTAGTCTATTTATTTATTTATTTGAACACATAAATATTGGTACAAGGGGCACCAAATATATATGCGTCACACCATGTTTTTGTGTGTGGGCTGACATACTGCCCGGGTGCCCAGACCGAACCAGGTGATTTTATTAGGGGGCCATACCCCGAGCCTTCGACCTAAAGGTCTAACCCACATGGCAGTGGAGCATCGTGAGGAGATGCAGTCTTATGGTAGCCGGTGACCAACAATCGGTTCATACACCATTTGTTCTCTCTGGATACTGGAGCCAGCCCATGTACACCATTGGTTTTGGATCCAGTTAAAGCGCCGGACATTCGCTTTTCGTCCTCTCATTTTCGTAAACAAAACCCGTGGTGCGAGAAGGCAGTGAGTAGGACTTCTCTGGTAGAGGCTATATACGCGTGGCCGTGTGAGAGCATTTCGAGTGGGAGGGTGGGTCCACCCCACTCTCGGCCATACCAGGGCATTTGGGGGCATAAGCAGAAAGCTATTAGAAATTATTTCAATCATAATCAAAGAAAAAAATAAGTGTAATCATTTTATAAGGCTATTTCACTTAGACGTTCATTAAAATACAATTATATCCAATAACTTATAAAGTGATTAGAATATGCTGTTTTAATCTCTCTAATCTCAACATCGATACTGAAGGCTTCACTAGTTTTTGCCAACTTAAGTCATTTATAGAGTAGGTGAGATAGCCGTCTACGAACCAATGGATGAGGTTACTGCGCAGCAGTTTGTTTTGTCCTACTTTATGGCTGTGAAACATGGCCGGTAAGAGTAGAGGATATTCTGAGGTTACTAGTATTCGATTATAGGTGTTTTCGAAGTATTGCTCGTATATTCTGTGACCACCAAGTAAGTAATATAGTTGTTAGGAAACGGTTACTAGGTAAGGATGGCAAATCAATTGATGAATTAGTGAAACTTAATCAGTTGAGATGACTGGGACATGTGTTACGTATGCCTAATCACCGAATACCCCGACATGCGATATTTTAATGGTGTAGGAGTAGGCTGGAAGAAATTTAGGGGTGATCAGACCAGAACATGGCATAAATTCATGAAGTCACTAGACAAGTGGACTGAAACATGTTGGTAGGTGTAGACTACCTGGTTGGGATCCGTGACACAATAGCAACCGATGGTTAGGAACATTGAATGAAATGGTTCAAAATCGTTTGCAATAGCGCAGGTGCATTCATTCGTTTTGTTCTCCCAAATTCTAATACTTTGAATTCTTCATGTCCCTTTCTTTTTTCTCTTTCTAAATTTATTTCATCACTGGATTATACTCCTTGAATAACATCTTCAAACTTTAATGTCTCCAATTACTACTTATAATTTTATTACATCTACTACTATGGGATTTGCATCACTGTGCTAATGTGGTATGACAAGTCGAACTAATGTACGTACGTACGAAGTTTTTTACGTTGTTACCGACTGACTGACTGACTGACTGACTGACTGACTGACTGACTGACTGACTGACTGACTGACTGACTGACTGACTGACTGACTGACTGACTGACTGACTGACTGACTGACTGACTGACTGACTGACTGACTGACTGACTGACTGACTGACTGACTGACTGACTGACTGACTGACTGACTGACTGACTGACTGACTGACTGACTGACTGACTGACTGACTGACTGACTGACTGACTGACTGACTGACTGACTGACTGACTGACTGACTGACTGACTGACTGACTGACTGACTGACTGACTGACTGACTGACTGACTGACTGACTGACTGACTGACTGACTGACTGACTGACTGACTGACTGACTGACTGACTGACTGACTGACTGACTGACTGACTAATCTCTTTACCACTAGTTTAGATTCAAGTTAAAGACAAGTAATCTCTCATCTTTGAATATTCTATATCTTAATATATATAAGTATACTAGTTGATAATGAAAGATAAATGTGAAGTGTAAATGTAATTGTCCACAAAAAAAAAAAAAAAAAAAAAATAGGAACTGATTGACTATTCCAGTGAGTTATAGTTTTACTTTTATTAATTAGATATTAGCTATTGTTGTTTTCTAATTAATTCTAGATCTTTGATCCAGAAATGAATAATCATTTAATTAAAAAAATACCAGAAGGACAGTTATTATTTTCATATCGTTGGTTATTATTAGACTTTAAACGAGGTAGGTGTTATGTTACAATATGCATAATGAATGGTAACTTTTTGGGATCTATTTATGGATCAATACTATGCATATATATAATTGTTAAATAGCTAAACTATCTACATATTCATATTCCTCTTATTATGAACTTTATGTTGACCTATGAACTGTTATTATACGATTGATCATTGTCGAATTATGCCAATGTTTATTCATCACTACCTCCCACATTCACAGTCACATTTGGCTATTTTATTGGTACGGTTTGGTCTGTCTGGTTGGTATATAAGCCCAGTATGTTTTGAAATGCAGTATTCATATCGGAGAGTCTGAGATTGGTGTTCTGGACTTAACAGGAAGGCAGGGCTAGGTGGGAAGCAGGACCGATAAGTACTCTAGACTGCTCGTACGGGTATTATGCGTCATTGGTCCGATCGATAATTCACTGTTCTCTAATTGGCAGTATCATTACCGTATGCATTAATAGGGCACACAGACCGCAAGTTATAACAGTAAGTACTGAAGATAATGAATACTTGATATCTGTCTGTATATACATATATATCTATATGCTTTCTTTTTCTTAAATCACAGTTAGTTTTGTTTGTCAGTGTACTTTTCTTTCAGGTAGCCTTGAAATGTTTATTCTAATGAAGTGAACATTTATATTGTATCACTAAGAGCATAATTTCTCTCAACATTCTAGATACATTGTGCTAGCGAATGCTAATTAACAACCTGACCGTTGCTAGTACTTTGACGTGGTGGTCAAGTTTGCCTATCGTGATAAACCAATCGAAATATACTGACTGGAACAATTGTTTTTCATTTGGGTCCTACCATACCAGTCAGATAGGTTGGTTGAAAAGCGGTAAGACTAAAAGTAGCAAACTCAAGCTTCTGGAGCGAATTCGTGCTGCTGACTGTTTAGAGGTGTGACGGCCAACCAGACAACCAGTATAACAGCGATTTTGTCTTATCAATAGCTAACATTTTCTAACTTTCAGCGATGTTATGCTTCAATACAATGATTATTCTAAAATATTCACTTTTGAATCATTACCCAGACTCGTAACTTGATTATCTTAATATAAAGAAATGCAACAGAACTATAAGGATCTAACTGAGCTGAAATTAGACATTAACACCACTGGATACCTGCTCAGTAGTTTAATGGTTAAACACTCACTCACGAAACTGATAGATCCTGGGTTTGAAACTTGCTGGGAGCGGGATCGTTGATGCACACTTTTGAGGAGTTCCATAGTAGAACGAAACGGGTTCATCAATTGACTCATGATTTCAACAATTGAAATGATTAAAATCTCCACAAAACCCCTTTCTGATAATCATTATTTGCTTATTGTCTTTTTGTATTATTATTCTTATTAGAATTACAATATGATGATATTTTTCCTGTATGGGAAACAATATGGGCATCACGTCGTATAGTAACATATGATTTTGGTATATTTTTTGCATTAGCATTACTTGAGTACTATCGTGATATTTTGATTTATTATAATATGGATATAACAGAAATTATTCGATTTTATAATGGTAAGTTGACAATTTTCATTGAATGATTTATTAATAGAATGAATCAATTCATTTTAATGATATTATGATAGTTTATACTACTGATATTGACAGATATATAAGTAGTATGTGTATCAACGATAACTTATTTACTTATGTCTACATCCAATATGTTTCACTGATTCCAAACACCACCAGGTTGTATCTCCTCATTTCTGCAGCAATTTGGAAGACTCTCACGGTCTTCCATATTGTACGAGAATTCCATGTATTTAAATTGATGGTTGCTTTGGTTGTTAGAAGGGGCATCAGCCTTGTGACTTCCAAAGGAACTCGACTTCATAACTCATCTAAAAGAAGACCTTCTAACTCCTGGGGCAGAGTTTGAATAGATTTTTTATGGTTAGCGTTTTTTTAACAAGTTAGTTTTCTACGGGATTAAGACGCTAACCCTATGCCCAACCTTCCTCCTTTATCCGGGCTTGGAACCGGTAGTAGCCCCAGAGGGGCTCTAGGTGAAGTTATGTGTGTCAGTAATCAAAAGTGAAATGCCTGGAGGTAGAATATTGAGATAAATCGAGGAGGAGAGAATGAGAACAGAGAGTGATCGGTATGAAAATGAAGGAACAATGAAGTCTGAGACAATTGATTGATATCTTTCAAATGAAGTATCTATTGTATGACTTTTAGATTTTACCAAGATATCAACATTTATACTTTCGAAAATTTGAACTGTAAGGTTTCCAAACTTTAATTATATCATCAAAACTACTGTCAAATAAATAGCGTGCCTATAAGTTAGAAAATGAAGTGATCATTTCATCGAAAAGTATAAACGAATACTAAAAATAGCTTAGTTGACAGTATAAATGGTTCAACATGACTCAAACTACTGATTATTTTCAAGTAGTGCAATGTGAGACACAAAAGTAGCCAAGGGAATAAACTAAGTTTAAGCATAGGGCGACAGGCAAAGATGACAAGTTAGTTGGGTGAGACTATAATTGATGGACGACCTTTGAGCGACGCCGAAATGACCTTTGGAATGTCCACCTACTTAATAGGGCTAAATCATGGTTATATAAAGCAATATGAAGAGTAAGGATTATGATTTATAGTTGATGGTTAAGGTTAGGAATTAGATTTATAGGTTTCATCACGAACTGACATCAGCTAAAAAGCCAGGACGCTGTTTAGACAATTGGGTGAATGAATTGCGCGCCCGAATCCGGGACCTGTCATCCTAAATCTGATTGGTTTATCCATAAATTATAGTATCGCCGTTAGTTGATGAGGTTGTGAATCCTCATCGACTGAAATAATTGGAATTTGTAATACCTATGATGAACGACTAACTACCTTGACAGACGATGTTTACTAGTGTGATAAGTCAGGAAAAAGCTAGGGCAGTTAAACTTAAATACAACATCACTCCGTAAATTCGATTATCACTGTTCTGAACCAAGTTGGTGAACCCAAACTATTTGGTTGGGATTCCTGTGATAACCTATATAGGTGATTGAAGTTCATGGGTAAAATGGTTGAGAATAGGTCACAAAATTTTTTCTTGTTAATTTTATTTCATCCTTCTGATATGATATGGCAACTTTGGTTAATGTAAGCACACTCATGATCTCGCCTATTAAAGTTACTAAAATATCCACAAACCCCCTTCTCTGATTATAATCAGTATATGCTCAATAGTGACTGGCTTCAAGAGGCATTTCTGAAGTTCTAGTGAGAACCAGTGACCAGTGGAGTTCAACCGGGTTTGTTGCGAGATAGTAGCCTACTGAAGGTAATGGTTGGTATGTCACTCAATTTCGTGGATTAGATAAACTTAGACATCGACACCGTCGGATGCCTAGATGTGAGACGTTCGCGTGCGAGACCGATAGGTCCTGATTTCGGATCTCACGAGACGGGATCATGGATGCACACTGCTGAGGAGCCTCTCATTAGGACGGGACGGCCGTCCAATGTTTCCAGGTTTTCCTTAGTGATCTAGCTTCATTTGACTCAACTATTAACATTACTATAATATCCACAAAACTCCTTCTGATACTAATGTAGATGTATACCAGACTGTTTCGATGATGACCAACAGACTCCTAATAATGACTTTGTTTGTTTGTATTTTCTCACTATTCATTTCAGAATTAACCGAACAACATGACTGTGTTACACTACTAGAATTGGCACGTAGTTTTGTCTTTCAACTACAACATTTAATGGTAGACAGGTGAACATTTATCTAGAAAGAAATCACTATTTTATGTTCTTTATTTTATTGGTTTTCTTTGTCTAGAGGTTGTTTTTGTTTTTAATTTTATTTCAAAGATGATTGTCATTTCATTGTATAACTAACTATATGTTGTAAAAATCTATACAATCGTAAAACAAACTTGCTTACTTATTCATGTCTATTACCCATTTTGGAAGAGCACAGGCTGTCCAGTAGCATTCTCCATCCAAATTTGTCTTGGACAATCCCTTTCTAGTTCTTTCCAGTTGTTATTCATTCTTTCAACCATAGCTTCCAATTCCCAACATGATATGTACTTCAACCTTCCATTTTTTCCATTTCTCTTCAAGATTCCAAGTGAGTACTTACCTCGTAATATAGTTTGATGATTTCCAATGTCTTTTCTTCATTTCTTCTTCAACTAGAAGCTGGTTTGTTCTTTCCTACAGGAGGTAGAACAAACAGAGAAATATATATGTATATCTTCTTTTATTTCTAAGAATGTGTATTTGTATTACAAAATTTAATTAATCCAAAAGAACTGTGATATCCCTAAATATTGTTTTGCTAAAGAGTCATTTCCTGCCTTTTCCTTTTTGAGAAACTTCTTGTTATTATAAATAACAGTATCATTGTGTTTGTAATATAAGAACATTTGAGAAATGTAAAAGATAAATCTAATGTAATGTAATGTAATTCATTGTTCATTATCTTATTATTTGGGTATCTATAACTATATTCTTTGTACAATTTGTTTTCTTACTTCATATAATTCAGAGAAGATGTGGATATACTATTTGTTGATAACCATAGGGAAACCTTTTTCTGTTATTGATTGGTACTATTACTTCATGGTAACTGTTTGTGATATAGTGTTTTTTATGATACAGTATCCACAACATATTTCTATATCAGGGATTGGCCTACTTACCAGGTGTAAGGCACTCAAATGCCCTGGAACGACCGAGAGTGGTAAAAGTCAGCTCTCCCTCTCGAAATTCTCTCAAATGGCCACGGGCATATAATCACTGCAGGGAAGTACTACTCACTGTCTTCTCTCGGTGAGAGTAATGTTTACGAAATTCAAAGGACTAAAAGCGGATGTCCAGCGCTTTAATCAGGTCAGTGGATATGGAGGATCCACCTGTGGGAGTTAGATAACCCTAATTTCAAACCGATATTGGACATGGGCCCTAGGATACTGAAGGAAAAAAATGGCGTATGAACCGATTGTTGGTCACTGGCCACCACAGGACTGCTTCTCCTGATGTTGCTCTACTGCCTTGTGGATTAGACTTTTAGGTCAAAGGCTCTGGGTGTGGCCCTCTAAGAAAACCACCTGTTCCTGTTTGTACACCCGTGTAGTACCCCAACCCTCACTCAAATAGAATGATTTATGTGGCGCATATCTATTTGGTGCCTTCTTGAACCCATGTTTATGTTTTCAAAATAATAAGCAAATAAATACAAAGTGGTAAAGGTCGGAACATCATAATTATTGCTGATACAAAACAACATACGCTTGACTTTATCTGTGACATAAATAGAACGCAATAACAAGAATCGTAGAAGAATTATCTATATTAAAGTTTAAATGAACTTGTTCATATTTATTGATTTATTTTCAAAATAATCATATACTATGCAATTCATTTGCCGATCACAAACACTTTTAGTGACGAGGGTTATCAATCATTGAATAGATTTTACTGTCATTTTTAACCTCTAGGTCATTTCTGCTTCACCCCAATGGCGTGGTTTCCCGAAAAATGTTGCAATATGTTTAAATTAAACAGACTTATAGGAACCATAGATAAGTGGTAAAAATGTACCCGGGTTTCAATTAGTGGGTCTCAGGATTGGAACTTGTTTCTCCTACGCTGGTTTATACAGTAAAGTAGTTGTCAAGACCTTGCTTTCTACTGATACCATTAAAGACCTTGAAAATTAAGTCACGTTTGTTCGTCCGTGAAGTAGGCAGTATTTCCCAGAGGTTGGAGTGGAATATTGTGCATTGTAAAGTAAGGCATTTAGAAACAGCTCTAACATTAAGTCAATCTATTTCCTCAGGGGTTTCTGTTATCTGGAAGTGTAGTAAATGAAAACATAAGTGAGGACATTACAGAATATCATAGTAAAGTTTGAAGACTATAAAATAAGTACTTCATTCGCAAAATGTTGATTAATTGTCCCAGAATTCGTTGTTCCTGCATTTCCATATCAACTGCTTTCTGTTCCCACTCTTTCCCTCTCGTTCTTCTAAACCTTCTGTTGTCAGACATTCTATTCCGGACTAGAGTTACTTACTGCTTATGTAGATATGAGCAGCACACAACACAGAAGTAATAATTACGTTGGTTTCACGTATTGTATCGAATTTACTTGTCTTTCCAATACATACATTTTAATTTTCGTTGTAATGCGTGCCGATCTAATTCCATCTGGTAGGATATTCATCCTATAGAAATGCCCGAAGTCGCGAATTTTGCGAGCACGCTTTCGACCGTAACTTTTGAACGGCTCAGTAAATTAGCTTGAACATCCACACAATCCTGTATAAAGTGCTCACAAACACTCAAAATAATGTACCAGAAGAGGCGATTCTCTTCTGTTGACGTTTAGGAAAATTTGGGGTAAGACAGACATTGACACACGTTTGAGTCCATATGACGCTATAAATGATCTTTAACGTTTTCCAAAGCTTCAAGTGAGAAATGCAGTTAAATGTACTTTTGTTTTCAAGTTCCAAGGTCACTATTTCTTAAGGTCTGATTCATGAAGATAGTTGTGTTTTATGTTTTTATAAGCATCATAGATTTATTTCGACATAGTAGCCGGAGGACAAGGAACTACATGATGGTCGTAGTTCTTAGTGTGTTGGACATGTCAAGTTTCACAGACAGTGAGTATCTGCTAATTACTACCACACAATCCATGTTCTTAGTGAACTTCTGGTCAGTAAATATATCTGTTCATACCTCGAAGCATCGGTAGATATATGTAAACAAGTTATGAGTTCAATCAGTGGTAATGAGGAAGCCACATTTTCAGAATCTGTTGCCCTTACAGCCCTACGGCAGACAGTGTGCAGTCTTGTGTGGTTGTGAAAAATTGGAATCTTGGTTTACGTCGTTGTGTAACGATAACCAGGTTTGCGCATACGCGGTTAGTCATCTGGACGGTATATCGAATACTGAACATGGTGATTTAAGCTACAAGGTCAGATTTCGTACTATTGTGCTGCCTAGAAACCACACAGTAGTTAATTTTTATCGTCACAAAGCTGATTTTATTGAGCTTTTGTTTCTGGATACACGAATAAGCCTGGGTGTTTGACATCACTTGTCTTTATTATTGTAAAAGGCACTGATTCACAATTTTACTTTGATCTTTTGTCAAAGATCAGACGTTCTATCCATGATCCCCACTTAGTAGTTCGCTATTCTCAAATTAAAAGCACTCTCTTCATGTAACCAGCTTATGATAATTTCTTTTCGCTAAGAAACTGACAGGAATCAGACATTTATTACTTATACCTGTGGTCATTAAAACAGATAAAGAATATATGCTATCTGTTTCTTCATCGAACAATAAATAGGAGTGAGTGATCGCTAGTTATGCATGAGACACTCAAGTTACAATATGTACGTGCATTTTCGGAAGTAGTCCCACCGCTGACCATCCCATTCCGTAGTTACGCAAAAAACTACTAGAATAAGTGTAAATTTTAGAACATTTTATTGATAATTATTTACAACAATATGAGTACAAATTTCCTGTTTAATGTGCCGACTCTGGATATCTAATCACGTTTATGCAGGCATGACACTTTTTTGTTGAATAATAAAAAGAATCAACTCCACGAAATTTCCGAGAGTCTGCTGAAAAGGTAAATAAAAGTTTAGTAAATTAGTACAATGAACATTTACATTTAACTGGACAAATGTATTTTAGTGGCCCAGGATCTGAATCCAATTAGATCGTATGAATGATTGTTATTGAATGATTGCAGTCGAAATGTATATGTCGCTTATCCTTGTATATAATCATCGATTTAAATCGCGTTAGTCAATAAAGAATTAAATAAGTCAAATACGAGAATGAATTTCGAATATGTATATTTCAAACAATCTTTGGTCCATACAAAATATCAGAGAAACGAAGAGAAAAGAGCGAAGCGAAACGACGTGCAGTGAAGGTAGTGGGTGAGCCAACTTCATTTGGTCAGGCGTTAATCACTATCTATAGTCACACTAAAATAGGCTACAGACATGCGATGGATGGGATAAGAAGCGTACGTACACATACGCTCATATAAAAACAGCCAAGGTTGATAAGCGAATAATTAACAAGGCCAAAATATGACTCAACTAGAAAGAATGGATTGGCCTGTCCGAAAGCTAGAATAAGATATGTGGGCTTAACATGTCAACCGACACTACAGTATTTTCATGTATACGATTCTTGATCAAGTATAAGAAATTGTTAGAAGACTGGTCAAATAAATATTGGCTGTGTATAGGATTTCATGGGACCCTCATTTTAATGGCAGACACTTTGTAAAAAGAAAACGACACCGTCCAATTGCAGCCTCCCGGTGAAATAGATAACCATGTGACCAATTAAGTAAACACTCGTTAACACCCTAATACTTCAGTTTTAATTATGGTAGTTTACGATCCATCGTATCAGATATCTGGGAAAAGTTTAGCAGGAATTTAAGAGCAGGCATTATGTTTTGGGTGATAGCAAGTAGCTATTTCAGGTAAGTATTCCATAGTCTACAGGATAACAAGCCATATTGAAATTCAGAAATGATAGTATCCTTGGACATATACGGACTCGGTGGATGTAGATTACTAACATAGGTGGTCTGTACCGATAATTGAAAGCTTAATAATGTTGGACGTGAAGTGTGATCACTTGGGTTATATCAAAGTCACAGCCTGTGGTTAATACGTACGTGTTAAGAATCACTGTTTTTTTCCAGGTACTATGGCC